ATAATTTTGGCAAAACGAATATTTGTGCACACTTCACTTTCTGGCATAGCTCCCTATTGTACACCCGAAACGTTCTGTTTTTTTTACCCATCCTACTAATATTATATTAACGTGTTTCAAATGAAAAAAAGTTCACGGCATTATTCACACATTATCAAACATTGTAATATATTACTATGTGATTGACCAGGCGTTAAAAATGTTATTATCTTCGACAATGACATCCGGCGGGTAAAGTAATCGAGTAAAAAACATGAATATTTTTATTTATAACGTTCCGAGAATATACTACAGATTGTCCTCAAACATTATAAAAATAACAGTCTAATCGCTATGAATGTTCAGTTACTGATGTAACATAAAATTTTAAAAAGAAAAATACCGTTTAAATCGTAAGTTTATGATGGCCATGTGTTATGTACAGAAAAATAAATACTTTGCCACATCTCAATTACCTAAGTCCAAGGACAAATCGAAAAAAATAACATATTTTCTTCACCTTGGACGCTGTTGGTACTTAATTTTAGGAAACCGGGCGACTGAAACATTTTGTATTTTATGTCTTGACAAACTCGTAAAATAACCGACATTTTTAATGGTATGGTTAGGATAGTATTTTGCAAAACAAATTTAAGTCAATAGTGTGGCGACGACGTCATTAAATGCACACAAGCGGGTCTACTAAGACGACTGAAATCTAAATATTTATACGTGCGACAAACTATGTAATGCCATTAACGCCGTTTAACAATCGCAACGAACAATATACTAAGAAGTACGTAATAAGGATTTCTGCGAAAATTTCACACCTATATGGTATTTTAAAATATAAACTATTAAAACTTCAAAAGCTTACCAAACGAAAAAAATTTAAATCAGGCGCTAATAAAATATTATATTTATAGGTTGTACATCACAATTCACATCATGTACCAAACCATAATACTTAGTAAACAAATGAAAATTACAAATTATAATTCAATCAGATATTTAGATCTACTTGCAAAGAGTGACGTGGAAACTAATGTATATTGTATTTCAGTGTCATCGAATTATCGGATAACATAAGTGTTTAATTGTTTAATTTTGATCACTATTGACGTTAACGTTATGCTGTTTTCGAGCTACCTACATATTCAAAACAAATAATGTGCACACGTTGTAAAAGCATATTACTAAATATGAGATTTGAAATTAAACGGTTGTTCAAAACTATAAGTTATACTGGTTCTGATAAAAAAAAACAAATCGATGACTAAGGCAAACTAAAAATCGTAGCATGAAATAATAATATTTTACCCATCTGCGCCTCTTGCTATCTGTGATCTGTTTTTATCGCTTTAAATCACTCTTACGTTTACACTTCATTTTATACAGGTAATTATCACGAGTGTTTCAATACAATTGAAGTTTATTTTGGAGGCCCAATTAGTGATAGTCGCGGATCTGAGCTTTCTGCTATCTCATTTGTAGGTACTATTGATTTGACCAATTATAACAAACAATATATAATATTATAAAATGTCTGGAACGAACAACATTATGAGAAAAAAAAACGCTGAATCGAACCTTGCACACGTACAAAAAAAGGTGATTCTACTACCGGACAAATGTATGATCAGCGTTGTTGGATGGCAAGTCATAGACAGGAAGCTTGTTTATTATAATGTAGTCACAGGAGCCGGCGGTGTATTCATCGGGGACAACTGACAAGAATATAATACGTCATTTATATACATACTAATTAGCGAACACAGTGTATAAAACACAATCCGTGGTCTACATTTTGTGTACGAATTATAAATAAACGCAATTAGTCATATTAATACCTCGAGTTTGCGTACCTACGCTTTCTATATACCGTCTATGAAGTAGACCATGGTTAAAATGCAGAAAGGCACCTTTACAAATAATAAATAATAAGTCTGAGAACAACAGTTTTTTGTTTTCTTCTGAAAATATGCTAGCGAATCGTGAACAAAATCTTTCCAAATTCCATTTGCATGTAAAATCGTTAAACAAGTTATATAAAAAAAAATAGAAAACTTAACGCATGATTTGCCTAATAAGAAAAACCGTTGTCGCCTGAGATGCGACAAGATAACAACATTACAGTGTGTTAACGTATAGCTGTGGCGGCGCCGCACTTATTTGCTAACATTTATTGCTACCCGTAATTCCTGTTTTTCGGCATCTGATAATAATGAAAACAGATAGCCAGATTTCACAAGTATTTCTTTTTTTTTGCTTTCACGGAAACTCAATAAACCCATACTTAATTTCTTTTGTTACCATCTTTAAAAAGTTTTTTATTATTTTGGCTCTAGTTGAAGAGCCAATAGTAGTTTAGTAAAACAGATTGTAACCATTAAATATCATGAGAACGATTTTCAAGTATCCCATTTCACCTTTAAGAATCCTAAATATTGTAAAAATGTTGATTAATTTTCAAGTTAGACTTTTATTAATGAAAAATTTTAATTTCCCATGTTAATCAAACGTTAAAACGAAAAATGATCGAGACTGAACTTGAGTTGAGCTAGAGGTCTGACGTTTTAAGGATTTCTCATAAGAGTAGGGAATCGTCGATTGGAGGGGTAAAGAAAAATAATATTTTACGGAGCAATCTAATGTTTATTTTATATTAATAATATTTAGTAAATACTACAATAGTATAAAATTGGTTGGACTATTTTACAAGTAATAAACCTGAATTTAATAGGTGCGATTAGCGGTTGTTTTATTATACTTGGGGAAAAATAGGTTGTCGATTCGTTATAAATAATAATAATAATGCGACTGCATTGATTACATTAATAAATATATTGACTAGTAAACAGAAAACACTTTTTGTGAGACGAGTAAAAATGGCTGAAACGACGGCGCGGCGCATTGATCACCATAATATGTACGTCGATTTTCACCCAACACCCATTAGTGTTTTTTTTTGTTTTGTTTAAACAAGTGTTTGCCATTTGCGAACGAACGCCACGTTATTTTGTGAAACTGCAAGCAACGCGAGCGGCTCTTCCATTAAGTCGAAACATATTCGGATCAAGTTCTACTTAAATATTACTCCAATAGAGGATACAGTGCTATAGAGGCGGTATAACGTGTACATTTAATGGTTTTGACGAAATACACCAGAAATAATAAATAATAACAGATCACTTGTAGCCGTTAAAAGCATTCGAAATGGTACATAACGGTTTTTTTTTGTTGTGTACGTTACGCGAGCAACCGTCGATTAGTATTACCTGTGACGGAAACAATTATTATAATTATGGAATAGTGCCATTTAATGGTTTAATATGGTATTGTACAGAAGTCGGAGGTAGAAAAAAAAAACTATAATTTTTGTCGGTTTCAGTCTTAAATTATTCGAGCCAGAGCCCAGAACTAACTTAACTATACGGTTTACCCGATCCATTTGTTTACTATAACGGAAAATTGTGTATTGAGTGTATACTATATTATACAAAATAGTATTTCCTAGTCGAATAGGGGAGGGAGGGTTGTTATGATCGTGAGAAAATTGAAACGAAGGGGCTTGCCTGCCCATTGGCCGCCAATAATGTCATCGGACATAATAGATTTTTTAGGTTTTGTTTCTGCTCGACTGCGCGGCCGACGGACCGATAAGCCGTGAGAGATCATTAGCCGTACAGTTTCTCTGAACCATAAAGTTCTCTTTCTTTCTCTCTCACGTGCATATAGTATATACACAAACAAACTTGAAAAAAAGTATACGTCCGAGTAAAAAAAAATTAAAAAAAAAAAAAATGATACTACTTTTGAATTAGCAGTTTGTAAATTTTGACAAATTGGATTAATATGTCTTGTTCTTTGCAGATCGACGACGACCGACAGAACGAACGACTGTACCGCGGTATACGCACACAAATTGCCCGTAACAGTGGGAACTTTGCCCAAATCGAAGAAGGCCAATACGCACACAAAAATAGAAAACCCATGGGTAACCAATACTAATGGAATGGGCTCAATGCGCGCGTATGTGTGTATAATTTAATTTTCTTGAATGGCGAATTAGTAGCGGTTCTGAAAGGCGCAAGACGTACATCGGCAGAACTTATCGCTGAATAGTACCTCGACTTGGAAATGTTTTTCATAATGGTCATCTAAACTGCCCACCCCGTCAGAATGGAAACTATTTTATTTTACAAGCAGATAATTAAAATATAGAAACGAATAAAAATATTTTCTTGGACCTATGTCAACTAAAAAATCACCCGGAGGACCGCAACTGATATATTAATTCATTGAACTAGTTACTAGTATCTCATATTGCATTTTTTTTCTATAAAAATAAAGTCTTCGCCCACGAACCGCATTAACATTTAAAATTGGGTATTTCGTTTGAGAGATTTACGCCAATTTCACCAAGTTCGCCCACTAGCACGAGGAAATCCGTATACGTTTTCGAAAATCTAGTAAAACTGTTAAATTTTTTCTTATGTCAGTACGTCCGCGTTTTCCGTGGAATTAAAAAAGGAAAATATAATTCTAAACACCCAGAGAGAAAATTTATTCATCACAATGAACGTTTTTCGTGTGTACCAAAGTACAATAGTCGGTTATATTATTTTAATATATGCCACTCGATGAACATCAAACAAACGTGTAACAACCTTATTAAAGTATACAATAATACAGTAGGCCATAGCTCGTGCAGCTGCACCCAAAACGTGCACGTTTATTACAATATGTATTATTATTCACTTCACTGTTGTACAATATAAGGAAACTTTCGGACACAAAATGATTTTTTAAAAATATAAACGATTTTTACAACGGCTAGAAATCAGTTGCGGATAATTTAATGTTAACCCCTATGGGAATTGCGATAAGTATAGTGTAGTGTTTGTTATGTTCTCGTCGTGCTACTGTTACTACCTCCAAAATCCCAATCAACCGATCCCCTAGGATGTAGGAACTCGGTTATCTCTTTAGCGAAGACGATTTATTTCAAATACTCTTACCTTTTGAATGAGCAACGGAGTGCCAAAGTCTTTGCCTCCCTGGAGCCTGAATCCCCACGGGGACGATTGGTCCGGTCGGGACAATCTCAAATTAATAAGCTGAGCCATTTGACGGGGTTATTGTATTTTCTCGTAATGAATCCGGTCACACTAAAAATTATATTGTATTTAATTTTTTTTTCCAAAAAATAAAAACAAAAACCCCGGTCGGTCAGTCGGCGGCGGCAGCGTACAAAAATGTCTACACGCGTATTTTTCACCTTCTCGGCTGTATGCACAACGGCTGATTGTGTGGCGTTTGTGTTTTATCGTTTGATAATTTCCCGGACGTTAATAATAGTGGTGGTCAACCGGTGTGAGCCAAGACGAGCGCATTTTTAGAATAGAGACGTGAGCGCGCGCGCGCGTTTTAACTAGCGTTTTATTTTTGAAACTTCTTCGGATAAATCAAAATGCGCCGGCGGTAGCGGGAATGCGCACTAGTGTGCGCATATCCTCTTTCACGTTATCAACAACGACCGCCACTGCCGTCTGCTACCTCGCCGGTCGCGTCGGTTGCGGAAGGACAAGGCTGCAATTTTAGGAAAACCATTTTTTGTTTTCGATTAACATTGCACGTAGTTAGTACGATTGAAAATCGTTTGACATTTCGGACAATCCTTCGAGTCCGAGTCCTCGGCGGACATTTGATACGGTTCTTGGCCGTAGAGTAAAAAATAAAGCATACATACTTTACATCGTCTGCTTATCCAGTTGCTCACATGTCATCTGACTGCGACAATGATAACTGAAACTCTAGAATTCAGAAGGTCGGTCACGTGTCTTATCCACCTCAAGAACTAAACCACCGCTTTGTAGTTAAGCGTTTTCAGTAATTGCTCTAATATCCGCGTCAACAGTAGTTTTCTGGGCATACGATTAAATTACATAACTAAAACAAAATTGTGTAACATAATTATGAGTAAAAAAAAATCGCGGGAATGTTTGAATACAATGTAAATACACTTCACATGAATGATTTTCGGATATATCCGCGTCAATGGTTGTTATTGTATATCCGAAAATCATTCATGTGATATTTCAATCCGCGAAAGTTTCAACACATTCGTAAATACACTTATTTCCCAATAATCGAAAACAAATACATACTCAATAGTTACGGATTACGAATACCGTATTCTATTTCACTATCTACTTAGATAAATGAGTAGGTACTCAAATGCATTAGATTTCTATTTATTAGATACATATTATATGTATAATACTAGTTTACTAGACATGTGTAGATCACATAAAACTAACATTTTATGATTTGATTAAGGAATATTAGACCGTTGAGATTTGGGTACTAATTATAGATACCAAATAATGTATTAGCATTAGTTTTATCTGTACCATCGATTCTATAATATGTATACAAGTTATAAAATAAAAATAAAAGTTTTAAATACTAAAATAAATTTTTTATTGGAAATCGTAAATTATCAACTTTGCTTACTACTATAAAAGCAATTACAATCATAAAATCGGTGATTTAGGCTGCGACCCACAAATCTAAGAATTGGAACAATTAATGTTTTACTTTCTCGATCTAACGAGAACTCATAATTATTATATTTTATTTTAACTGCATAATGGTTTAGTACTATTATTTTTATAATTATTTTTCAAAACAATTACCAATTAATAGTAATTTAAACTAAAAAACAATTAGTCATTAAAAACATTAGACGTCAGACTGTCTACTTTTAGGGTTCTCATAACAAACGACACGAGTGTAATATTTCAATTTTCATCCGTTCGTAGACCGTGTGCTGTATACATTATACTTCATCGTGCATGACCAATGACAAATTAGGTGGTTGGTATTAATTTATTAAACAGGATTTGGCAATTGGCAAGATGGCAAAAATAAAAACAGATTTAAATTTTTAAAAAATAAAAATTAATCAGTGTATGCTTCATAAACTTTCTTTCATTTTTAATCTAAATGTAAAATAATTACTATTTAAAAATAATACACCAATTCGAATTCCCACTTTTTCTAGTAAAAGCTCTATGACATTAATTATTTAATAATATATTACCTAGTTATAACTAATAATTTTAACTGACTGTTATAATCTAATGTAAACATTTTCGTAGTAACACAGTTGATTAGGTGATTATTTATTTATTTATTTTTTTGTAAACACATTGATTGAAGTATTTACCATTTTATATACAAAATTAATGAAAAAAACAATAGAATAATAATTTGCTTAAACAATTTATTATTGATTAGTAAGTAGGGATTTATACCTAGTTGTCTCATTAAAATAAAAACTATTATCTTTAAACTTTTATAGAACTAAGGGATACGTATTAAATGACCATTTAAATTTATATGATTTTACTTATGCATTATATCTATATAGGTATTGACGTATTGTCTATGATGGAGCATAAGTGTGCTTACAAATTCATAATATAGTAAAAAGTAAGTACTATTTAGAAAATAGTACTTAAATGTTTAAAAAAAGAACTCTAAAGTATTATATTTATGTGAACAGTACAAAAAATACGCTACAGAACAAAAAATTATACTAAAATTGACAGTTGGTCGTCATTCGTCAATAATCATATTACCATAATCCACTGGAATACGTATTTAGGTATAATTATTCAAGGATGTGTGTTTATAGCAATAGAAACTATGTTATTATAACGAACCTTAAATAAGGAAAAAATATATACCTATTTAAATACAAATATTGAACATTTCTAATGTAAACACACTTCAGAATTGACAAATAATGACTAAATACTAGTAATATCATTGACTATTGTTTATTGAGTATACTATATGGTACAATATATACTCAATGGTAATACTAACTAATTATCAAGTATTAATAGAGGTTACCATGATACCATGAGGGTACCATGATTTATAAATTACATTTATTAAGTAAAGTTATCATAACTGTTTTATTTCATATTTAAGAAAGTTAAAAAATATTTACATTTTGAAAATTATTCATATTTTAATTAAGGTAACGCGGGAAAATCATTTTGAAAGAATTGTCCAGTGTGTCCAACGTAATACATCATTGTTCACACTTTACAATAATGATTATTATCAAAGTTATATTTTATCAATAGGTGTTTTTTTTTAAATGTTTATATAATATAGATTATAGGTGTATCGTATAAAGTATAAACTATATTGAAATTTGAAATTCCTTTTTACAAATTCTAGTTTTAACTATAGTAATTGATTAAACAACAATTTTAATCAGATTATATTGTTGAGTCGTAACCTTTAAATTTATTATTATAATGGACGAAGAAGAAAAAGTTATAACAACCTCTGAAGTAGAAGAATCACCTAAGAGAGGTAAAGTTTTAGTCGATTATTTAAGTTATTTATTTTGTTACCACTTTAATGTCATTATAACTTAACCTACTAGAATTGACTATAGTTAACGTAGGGGAAAATTTGGCTTTGATGAAAATGTTTAAAAACTATTCCAAGAAATATTTTAGCCAATGAAAAATAGGTAACTAGGATCAGAAAATGTATTTTATTTAAATAAATACTTAATGTTTTGTACCACTTGGTTAACCTTACCTTAACTTGGTATAAAATCTAATTACGATATATTTTAAGTCGCCTACACGATTTTTCAGATTACCACTTCTCTAATGTTCACTATGTTGAATTCATTATGAATTGATGTCAACTGTTTTCTACGTAATTATTTATTATATGGTGTTTTGTAATGAATTTAATTATTATTTTAGGACCAACCTTATCTACAAGTACAAGTAGTTTCGAACGTAATGATCCTCATGATCCGAACATAAGTTTATTATCAACGAAGATGTTTCAAAAGACATCAGATTATTTATTGGGAGAACTGGATATAACTCTGGTATGGTAATTAAAATTTTGGTGGTAAATGTCATGTTATGCTTATGCACTAAAATTATACTGAAAACTTGTTTTTTATATTTGAACGTTTATTTTTCTATAGTTTAAAAGTTTTATTATTACAATTGTGTTAAGTAGAAAATATAAATTTATTCACGCAATAGTGTTATTAAAATTTAATATGAATTAATGTATCAAAATCTATCTCAAAGAGTCGAAAAATAGAACCCGGGTTATAATAATGAAACTTGAATTTAACAGGAAGATTATAAATTGCTGGAAACAATGAATAAAGCAACGACACAAAAATATGCTTCATACAGGCAGCTAGCATCCGATGTTGGAAATCAAATCCTGGAATTGAATCAAAAATGTAAGTTCTTTAAACAAAATTTAATTTGTATAATAATATACTATTTATGTTATATTGTATTATTTAGATAAATTGTTAGAACCCTATCTAGCCCAAATAGATCAAATAGAAGACAGTGTTTCAAAATTAGAGCAAGCTGCATTCAAATTGGATTCATATGCCAAAAGATTAGAAGCAAAATATAAGAGTCTAGAAAAGCGTCAGTGATTTTTATTGTACCTATAAAATACTGAGATAATAGCTACGGTATTCTGTGATAAAACATTTATGAGAAATTTAAAATATAACATTACCTATTATTCTATACCATTATCACGCATCTAAAATAGACTCGTGACTCGTCCCTTATAGAAAAAAGCCTTATCTCCTGAATGATAAAGACTTTTATAATACATTTATTTTAACTTTATATTTTTATTTTTAAACAAAAAAGTATATTACTTATGTTAATTTCTGCCTTACAAGATCTTTATAAATAACTACAAAGCTAAACAACATTTTTTTTTTTTTTGCTTTTACGGTGCTGATGCGTTTTTTCCATAAAAGACACCTTATAAGTATATAGATGACGTATCATAAGTGATGCAATTTTAATGATTGTATAATATATATATATTTTTCAGAGGAAAACAAACTGAAAATATCTTTGATTTTAAAACATTCAGTTTCTGCAGGTTGTAACAAAAACATTTAAAAAAATTTCTTTTTAAATGAATATTACAAGTTAAAAAATTATTACCTAAAGCTAATACAAATTAAACTACAAAAAATTTCTTAAAACGAAATTTTAGATTTAATGCAAGCTAAGAAGGAATTACATTTTTTATTGGGAATACTTGTCAGATGTGATCCATATGAAGCGTATTTGATTTTATCATTCATGTATCAAATTGATTAATTCAAACATGGTGCAATCATTCTCTTGCTGTATTAACAAACATTTAAACAGTGTCAAATAATATTATATTGGTATACATATTATTATGTTTTATTAACATTGAATAAAACAAAATTTGAATATATTTTGGTTAAATTAATAATTATTTTCATATTAAACCACTGAACTTATAGTCCCGCAATTGAAAGTAGTATTAACTTAAAAGCTTTATTTTTTTTAATTCAGAGTCCATTTAAAAATTTAGTAAAATTAATAGTTTTATAGTGATAGTGTAGTTCTATTTCAACGCAAGTATGGGAATTATTTTTAAAGTATCTGGTTGCTAATGCCCATGTTGACTTTCGTTTTCAAAATCTGGTACCTAAAAAAAGATTGCAATTAATAAACATAATTTTAAATTTGTATAACATATTGTAATAAAAAAAAATAATAATATTCTAGTTTTAAATATGTATTTTCAATTATCAGTTGTAAGTACCAGGAACAGTGTATATTTATTAATTTGCTTACTATTGGTGGTTGTGGAAGTGTGGCCAAATAGAATTGTCGAGCATCAATCTGTGTAAACCAGCATAAATTAAATGCTAACAAATTTGTTTTAAAGCATTAACAGTAAATATTAAGGGTTTACCGGTTTGTGATAATAAAAATCTTCTTCAGCGGAAACCTTCTCCGGTCTGTTTTCTATTCCTCCGGTGTTCTTTGATTCAATGTTATGTACTAATTTGTAAACGGCCGAGTTGGACACGTCGAACTTAGGTGGTTCATATTTTCTAAAGTTAACCCTAAAGAAAGTATTTTTATTTTTTTTAGTTGCACCTAGGCAAATTCCATATATATACTTGAATTTTTGTTAGCTTTTACAAAATAATATAACAAATATGACAAAAGGTTTAAGAATATAGGCAGTAAAACGATTAGGTACATGCTGTAGTTGAGGAAATTATTAACTATATTCATCGAAACAAACGTTAGGTAGTAACAGTTTTGGTCTGAATTTCTGTTACCTACCAACTGGAATAAGTAAATTGTAATATTGTTCCTAGTAAGATTTTTAGTAATTACTGTAAACCGGTAAATGATCAATTAGCTAACATTAAAATCACGTGGGACTCAATCGTACACATGTTTTCTCACTTCTAATGTATTTTGTATTAGTCTTGCCGTTAACATTTTATAAATGACATATTATGCAATTAATCATTAACTATTGTGATGTTCAAATCACAATCTCTATAACTCTAAACATAATATATAAACCACTTGAAAGTATAGATAGGAAATTACATTTTTTAATTGAATTCTACCCACTGCTTATAATAATAAATAATAAGAAAATGGGGCTAATATTTTATTGTGTACATACGATTATTTTCTAATTAAAAATACATTTTTTCAGATAATTTTATATAATTGGTTGTACTAATAACTCTCCCTATGCAACGGAATAGTGATTTAAGTGTAATTTACTAAATGTATTTAATGCCATTAATTAATTAAGGTATATAATTTATAGGCACATTTAGCATTTAGGTAAATATTTTAGAAAGTCGCTCATCATTATGAGGAAGCAGGTGTTGTTTTTTATTCTCAGGTAGGTATATCGGGAAAATATATTTTAAAATTGGTTAAAAAATAATTTCAGAACACCAAATGGTTGGATATGCTAGTTGCTACAATTTGTAAGATAAGCTAGTTACGTTATGCAGGAATTTTAGTGTCTTAAAATCAATAACCCGTTAAGTGCCAAATAAATAAATTGATCAATTGTCTTACCCCATCGCGGACCCGACCAAAACTTCTGCTTGGGATATCAAAGTCTCTGCGATGAACTCTTCGTTATACGCGTCCTTGGGACATCTCCACTTTCGACCACCCGGTAAGACGATCGGTCTGGGCAAAGGAGTTAACGGGTACACTGGTCTGCCGGCGGGTTCCTTGTCGTCTGACGTCTGTTCGCTATCATTATCCTGCTGCTGCTCCTCTTCGGCCGTTTCCTTATTTTCGCCACCCTCGTCCTTTTCCGAAGATTCTACCCCGTCGTCTGTTTCGTCCACGCCCGCTTCGTCGACTGCTTCCTCGTAGTCATATTCCTCTTCTCGTCCTTCTTCATCCACCTTAACCCAACTGTCTTCTCTTCGTCGACCCGTACCGTTCTCGGCAACGGCGTGCCCTTCAGACCCGCCGGCACTGTTGATCTTTTTCGACAACAATTCTGACAGCTGTTTCTCCAACAATGCTATGTGATTTTGAATTTGCAACGGTAGCTGACGAATGGTGTTCAGTTGGTTTTGAATATTTTGCACGCTTTTTACAAATTCGTTTTCAGGATCTTCATTCTCGTTTTCAACGATATCTGGAACTGGTGTTTCCTGTGGTTTCTCCGCAGATTCCTTAAAAAGCAAACCGATAGATTATTAAAAAATATTAATAGATATTCTCGCTGTAAATGTAATTCACTCAATAAATTATAAAACAAGTATGTATTAAGATTTTTTATCTTGTATTGATGCTCACCTCTGTCTCTACGTCCATGTTCTCTATTTCTTCGTCTTGTTCGACATCCTCGTTGACGGTTTCGTCCAAATCTTCTTCATTTCTTTCTTCTTCTTCGTTACTAGACTGTTGTTCCGCAACGCTCGTATCCTCTTCAGCCTTAGTAACTTCATCTTTTTCACATGACTTATCCGCAGTAACCATGTCTTCGATATCCGTCATTTTACACTTACAGTTGGTGCACACTTTATCGCAAGACTTAGTTTCCGTAGTGCTTTCGGTCGAGTCTACGATAGTTTCAACGGCCTAACCACAAATTCAGTTGTTACTTGTTACTGTTTACATATTATATATAGTTTATTTGTCACCTCTGGTTGTTTTTTCACCTCTTCTGGTTTCTTTTTTTCGGGAGGTTTGATCCTCGGTCGATTGGGTGTCGTCAAAAACGTGGAGAACCTTTTTGTGGGACATTTTTTCAGTTGATCTTGTTCAGATTTCTCGTCGAAAATCTGTTCCTCTTGTAATGTTTGGAACACTAACGAATTCTTAATAAAATCGCATTTAGGCACGAAGCGTTTAAAATTGACCCTAAAAGTTGTGATAAAAACGAAAATTGCAATCGTTAAACAATACAAAATAGTAGTTTTGGGTATTTTGTTACCCTATGACGTTTTTTCCGTTGTTTTCTATTACTTCAGCGCTCTCCAGAAGTTTCTCGGCGATTTCTTCTTCAGTCATTTCGTAGCCTGACGATGCAGCTAAACATTACATTTAAAACATTGTAGAGTTCATAAACATGCTAACGTAGAGCTATAATATTCTACGAATATAGGCTTTTTATGAGGACAATGGAAGTCGGATGTGAATTGAGATACCCAACAGTCAATACAGTTGTCTTTTCTTACCCGATACAACATTATCTCTGTAATTGTGAATTTCGCCGTAATTCTGTGACGATTCGTGTTCGGCAATGCTTCCAACAGACGAGGTCGCTCGCTCCATGGCCGACGGCGTATAAAGACATCTGGTTGGCGTTACAGCTGGCACTGGACTTCCTCTGTACAAGCACACCATAATAAAAATAATAAACAATTTTACTTATGTTAGAGACTGTGATTTCTCTTTTCTGGAATAATGCCCCAGTATACTTGTGGTCCTTGTCATCGAACTGTTCTAAACATTTCCATGCGAAAACTTTTAGGTACTACTAAGAAGATTATTGATCAGTTGCCACAAAGCTTCAGAAATTAACTTACAATCAGTGACAACTTTATAAATATTGCATTTATTTTTTAGTATAAAACGCTTTTACAGTAAAAAACGAAACATTATTGTGTCGCGCTTAAACACGCATACATGATTCTACTACAAATAACAAATGTCATAGATGACATTGCTATAATGTTTACAGTAATGTAAAGTATATAAATCAAAATTAAATAGGGACTCGCGGTGCTGTTAAGGAATAGTAAACAACGATTGATGCAAAAAGAACTATAATGGTTATCAAGGCATATAAAACCAAAACAGCCTTAACCATTATACTTAAAATAAGGAATGGACTGAAATCCAAATAACTGAATTATCCGGATTTAATAAACATTCATAGTTTTTTAATTTAATTGTTAGTGCTGTATATGTATTTCATTTAAGTTTACGCCATATAAGTAACGCAAATTATACACTTATATGATTTATTAATAATCGATAAAACATTTTATTATGAACATAAAACAATATTTTTTAACCAGGATTTATGAAATCTAGATACTTCCAAAGCTAGTGCGCTTTCTATTGAAATACATATTGAATCGATTTTATGATTCCTTGAAATATCTTTTAATGTTTTTTAAAACTATTGTAGTATAACATGAGCACTGGCTACTTTTTCCACCGCGTTTTGTTGTTTATTTAAAGATTGTTTTGTTATGTGCCAGTCGTCTCCAACTGATTTTAGATTTTTTTTTTATACAGAACTAATTAAGAATACTGTTGGTCACATGACTTCCACTGATGCGAATCAAGCCGAAATCGCAGTATAACATTATATTTATAGATGTTTGATATATTTTAATCGTGAATACTAGTAATTGGTCAACCGGGGATTATTGTTTACAGAATCCCCTATAGAATCTATCTACAGTAAAACACGCATATATCATATATTTATTAATTCTATTGCCGTTGTACATACCGTAAAATAGAGAGGTTGACGGTATTTCCGGCTTCCAGAATATATTGCTGGGCATCGCTGTGAGTGATTTGAGCGGTTGGATCGCCGTTTATTTCGATTATCATATCCCCAACACACATCCCTGCTTCCTCGGCCAGGCTGCCACCGGTTACCTTAAACCAATACGGAGATATTGTTATTATTTTTTTTTTGTGTTTTTTTTAGTATTTAATTATTAACAGATGATATTTTGGTGTAAGCATACTCACTCGGACCACGGTCAAAGGAATTCCAAAATCGTGACCTCCCGTCAAACGGAAGCCCCAAGGCGTGTCATCGTACCTGTGAAGTATTATTTCTTCGCACATTTTGCTATTTTCAGTTCTGGACTTATCGATGATACAACGCTTTAAACACGGTAATGCAGTTAAACCACGTTATTGTAGTAAATCCTATACAACGATTTACACAGCTTCAAGTTCATCTTTAAAAAAAAAAAGTCTTTCGGTAACGCGAGCAAACCGTAATCAAGTACTATACAGCAGTAGTAAACGCTGAGCATGATACTCTAATCTGAGAATACCTTTTGGCCGCAAGCCATCAATACCTGACATTCTGCACCGTACACTTAAGTTATAGCTAATAGAGTTCATATACGAAACAGGCGCATTGTAATCAAATATTTAATGCAAATTTATGGTTATAAATGTTAGGAAACAATTAGGTTTAAAAAAAAATGTCAAATTTTCTATATTTTTTACTGGTTTGTATAAAAAAAAATGAATTCTATTCTCAAATACTAAATAATATTTTTGTTTTATTTCCTTTGACCAATTTTTAACGACTATAAATAACTATTTTAAACGACATTTTAAAAAAATTAAATGCAATTGAACTACCTATAACCTATTGCATTCTAAAACTCATCTAAATTGCACTTATATTAGGGTTCTTCAAAAAACGAAGGAAAAAATGACTTTCTTTTGTGCAGATTTAACGATCCATTGATAGTAAAAGGCGTTTACGACTATTATAAAACAATTAAACTATTTGACCCTTTCGGAATTGTCATCTACTCTAAGAGAGGTATAATATATTCGTTGTATAATATATTCCACTAAAAAATTATATTGCCGGTTTTTAAGCCTATTGTAAATTACTTTTCTCACAAAACAAAAGACCTGTGTAATATTTAATGATATTTCATTCTTGTTAGTATCCAAACATTTTAAATGCCTTATATGTAAAATTAGCATGCTCATCACAGTTCAAAATCACCGACTACTATTATATATGTATACTTGTATTTACGTGTACACGTCTTGTGTTCAAAATATGTTAATTATAATATCATAACGCCCATAAATAGTGGATACCTTGTCACGTTGTTTTTAAAAATTGTATTTAGAATGCAGTTCAATTAATGTAAATATATTATGATATCAGATCTAATTATAGTAGTGCCGTGTGTATGCCAAATGACCTACAATTCAATACAATCATAGCCCAGTTACTGTTGATTAAATTTACACCGACACAAATTAATAAACATTTATTGAATACGCGTAATAGATTACGTACACATTTCTAAAATAAACCGTTTGTTTGTAAAAATTTATCATTAATGAAGTTATTGAACCCTATTACTATTACTTTATTTTTACTATATGCACTAATGCACTGGTCTTGTATTAACGATTCTCAACAATATCAGATTATTAAGGGTAACAAGTATTATATTGTAACAGTTATCAGTTCTTATATAGAAAAATTAATTTTGGGGGTACCTACATACTGCATGTATATTATACTATTATAGCATTGCTAAAAAATGAATAGTAAATAAATTAAAACTAAGGTCCGACTTGATTTATTAAAACTGTGGTACTTAAATGTAATGTATACAATATAAAGGAATGTGTAATATCTTAAATATAAAAATAGTTATTTATGTTTAATTTTATAGTTATTCCTATCATATAATAAATAATGTCAATAAATTAATAAAATTAAATACAAAATTTATTGCTTATAATTAATAAGTCTTTCGAAGTTAAAATATAATAAACAAAAATACTACCATAATACAAAAATGAATTACTAATATCAAAATAATGTAAGTTTTAGTACAGTACGAAAAAAAAAACTTTAACCGATAATAAAAATATTTATATAAAAAAATTATTTCACAATAATACACATATTTTACTAATGATATTAAAATATATTAATATACACATTTTCTACTTAACATTACTATTTACTAGATTACTACTATTTGGTAATCACAGATTAGGTGAAAGTTTGGTAAACCATAGATTTTATTGACTCTCTTTGATTTTGGCTAGCAGTTGATCGCACGTCGTTTTAGCGTCACCCAACAACATATTAGTGTTGGGTTTGTAGAATATTGGGTTTTCTACAGCAGCATAACCATAACCAAGGGATCGCTTCATTACAACGACCTACATAGAATGGAATACATTAAAAAAAAAAAATGCACAACATTATGTATACTAATAATACTGATAAGTAAGTACATTTTTTATTTTAGTTTCGGTTGGTAGATGAAAAAATATTGTTTTATTATTATCTTTACCTGATTAGCGTTCCAAACTTTTAAAACTGGCATACCGGCAATAACAGATTCGGGATCGTCTTCAGCGCCAGAATTTACAATGTCGTTGGCCCCTACTACTAGTACCAAGTCAGTTTTTGAAAAATCTTCATTTATTTCATCCATTTCCAGCATGTCTTCGTAAGGTATTCCAGCTTCGGCCAACAGTACATTCAATTGACCAGGCATACGACCTAAAACAAGTACAGTTTAATTTAAATATTATTTAATAGATACTAGGTAGTTCATTTTATTTTGTATATTTCAACTTTGATGTACCGGCTACAGGATGAATTCCAAATCGTACAGTTTTGCCATTTTTCTTTAACAATGAAACTAATTCGGCTAGTGGATACTGTGCTTTAGCTACACACAGTCCATAACCTACAAACAAAATAATATGTATTACGAAACAAATAATGAATCTAACTCAATTAAAAGAAAACTTTAATTCGTATTTGTGTAACGTTACTTGCCTGGAGTAATTATTATGTTTTTGGAATTTACCATAAGATCAGCAACTTGATCAACAGTAGTTTCCGTGTGCGTTCCTGCAATAGCGCCTTCACTATTCGTTTTTGAAGGTTTAGTACCAAAACCACCAAGTATCACATTCGTTAAGGATCGATTCATTGCCTAAATATGCAAATATTTAGTAAAATAATGTCCAAAAATAATAAGTTACACACAAGTATGTTTTCATTATTGAATAATAAATTAAATAGAAAATATTTAATAGGCTGTCTGCCGATATTAAAATCTTAACCAATATATCTTTAGCTATAAAAGTGAGGAAAATGAATTGTCCGTAAATACTCAACTTAATATAGTTTATATTTATACTATATTACTAAAGTAAATCAAGTGAAAAAGACTTACAAAATTATAGTTTCCGTCAAGAGCTGTAAGTATTTAAAAAATGTTCGAGGAGAAAATATTGTATAAGATTGTTTTTATCTGAGCACATAACTAAATTTCACTATTCTTCTCATTTAAATTTTAATTATTAATAACTTATAAAGTGTTCAAAGCTAATTAACAGGCAGATTTATTTTTATTTGGAAATTATTTTTATAACTTACGAAATGTTTAAGTTGTTGTTTGAGTTTGTTAAGTTATCCTACAAAAGTATCCCGTGAAGGGTTTAATAATAATAATAGCTTGTTCATTTTCAACATAACCCAACCTAATTTAGTTTTCATAAGTACATAAATGCCGACATAATATATAGATCAAATACTGAAATCTTAATAAAAAAATAATACTATAAAAAATAAACTACTAACTTTACACATGATATATGACAAAATAGCACCAGACGATCCAATCAGTGCACCGACAACAGTCATCAAATTATTATTCAACATAAATCCTTCTGCACATAATGCCCATCCTGAATAGCTGTTTAATACGGTAATAACTACAGGCATATCAGCGCCTAAAATATTTTTTAATAATTTATTTATTGAAGATTGCATCTGAAATCAAAATCAGGCCATACCACCAATCGATGATGTTAGTGACAAGCCAAGAGCAGCTGAAAGAGCAGTGGCAGATGACAACGAGGTTATTCCTGCAAACAGTGTGGGTTCATAGAAAAAGTATGCCATGGAAGCTACATTTCCAGCCAAGAGACTGGCATTTATAGCGTGTCTTCCAGGAAGCAACAACGGCGCCGAGTTTAAAATTCCCTGTAACTTTCCATAGGCTATTAGTGATCCACTAAATGTGATACCACCTATTGATGACCCCAAAAACAATGATGTTTTTATAACGTTAGCCGTAGGATCGGTGGCAAAAGTAGGGAAATCATGAAGGAAAGTCGCCATGCAAGTAAACACAGCAGCTAAACCAACCAGGCTGAAATTTAAAACCCATTTAGATATTTATTTAGGTTAAGAAAAAAAGTTATTACATACTGACATACCTGTGGAATCCAGCAACAAGTTGTGGTAAATCAGTTATTTGAATACGCTTGGCAACTACGGAACCTAGTGCTCCTCCTATCGCTGTACAAGCTATCATCTGAGCAAGAATTTCGGTTGATGGTGCTATATAACCTAGTGTTGATGCAATGCCTCCACCAACACCTATCTGTAATTAGTATTTATAAACATTTAATAATTGAAACAGAACGTCTTAAATTTATATCTTTTTACTTTACCATTCCCAGGTTATTACCAAATCGTGCTGTTTTCTGTGAACTCAGTGCAGCGAGAGCCGCAATACAGCACAGTGATGATCCCAATGAAGCAAAATTATGAATTTCAGGAAGTCCGTTCATAACTCCCCAAGTATATCCGCCCAGAAATACAGAAGCAGGTATTAAGTACAACGAATTATATTCCGGGGGGTCTCCAGGCCTAAAATAATAAACAACGCATTATATAAAGCAATGTCCCTTGAAAATGAAATAAGAACGGGAAGTGTATACCTTTTGAACATTTCTAACATACGTTGAGTAACCACAAATCCACCAAATACGTTGACGAACGATAAAAGTGCTGCAGAAGCCGCTAAGCCCTGTAAAAAATAATGTTTTAATAATGACCTAAACGTACGAGTATGTTGTGTTATATTGCATTTGCGTACTTCCACAGCGTTTGTAGGGTAATACGTCCCACCCATCAGCAACAAGCCACCAACTGCCGTGATCCCAGATATGGCATTTGTTACAGACATTAGTGGCGAATGCAATGCAGGCGTTACACCTAACAATAACAGTGTTTTATGATAATTTTAAATTTGAACACTGATATGCTACATACCCCACACTGTATAGTAACCGGCAATACCAGCCAAAGAGAATGTCGAAGCCATCATGGAAAAGTGATGGTTAGGTGAAATGGCTCCCATTGCCAAAAGACCTCCAAGGCCTGTAGTTACAGCCAACGAATCTTTTAAATGCTTTTGAAGGTGATTCTCGGACACCACTTGAATCTCTTTGGCAGCAACTGGTTTTTCTTTGAGAGGTTCAACTTTAGGTGGTGGAGGCGGCCATAAAAGTTGTCCTTGTCTCAGCACGATACTTCCTCTGACCACTTCGTCATCTAAGTTGATCGAAAACTGTTTATCGCTTCCCAAAGACAAAAGAAACTTAGATATATTGTTCGAGTACAAGGACGAGCTTTGAGACGGTAATTTCGATGGTAGATCAGTCAGACCTATGTGAACCACGTCATTGTACGTGTAAACCTCTCCAATGTGCGTTGTCTCGATATTACCGCCCGCCTCTGCAGCTAGATCTACTACCACGCTACCAGGTTTCATTCCTTCAATGTGTTCCTGTTAAGAACGGTTAAACAATAAACCTAATGTAGACTTGGTTTTATAATTAGCTTAGCTGGACTACTTTTAATATTAATTTCGGAGCTGGTTTCCCAGGGATCAGGGCCGTCGATATTACTATGTCCACTTCTTTGAGTTGCTTGGCGAATAACTCCATCTCGGCCTCGATGAACTCTTTAGACATTTCTTTGCTGTAACCTCCGGCGGTAGATCCTTCTTCCTGTGCCGATAAATAAAAACAAATCTTCGTAGAATATTTAAATTGACAAAGTAGTAGTTATTTATCATAACGCCAGTACCTTGACGGATACTGTCAAAAACTGTGCTCCTAACGATTCCACTTGTTCCTTGACCACTGACCGCGTGTCGAAACCCCTGACGATAGCTCCCATGTTTTTTGCTTGAGCGATCGCTGCCAGACCGGCTACGCCTCCTCCGATCACGAATACTTTGGCTGGCGGTAATTTACCAGCAGCGGTTATTTGACCGGCTAAAAATCTCGGATAGTGATTTGCCGCCTCGATAACCGCCCTGTAACCGGCGACATTCGACATGGAACTGAGCGCGTCAAATACTTGTGCTCTCGATATTCTGGGTATACAGTCCATAGCTGCATAAATTATTAATTCAAGCAATCAATTATACCTATTTCGGGATACCGATTCCATTACTTATAATACATTACCGAAAACATTCATTTTCTTTTTCGCCAGCTCTTTGATTATTTCTTGGTTTTTGCCGGGATACAATAATGATATCAAGGTCGAACCATCTCTGAACAAAGGTATTTCGTTGAGTACTGGTTGCCTGACTTTTAATATTACATCTGAAAATAACGAAACGGTTTTACGTTAATCGTTAATTGTATTTATTGTACCCTTATTCACGTGCTCATCGGCGGACATATGACTTAATTTGGATGAGAGCGGATTTGGCAAGGCAAACCTCATTTGTATGGGACAAGCATAGAAAAAAGAGGGGTAGTTTTAGTATTTAGGATCTGGAAAATGGACTGATGGTAGATTTAGTGAATACTTATAAAATATACAACATTTCAAACTTTTTTGTATTTCTATTTGTATTTTCGAAAAATACAAAAACCCTAATTATTTAAGTTATAAACAAATTTCTTGCCCAAATGATTTATATTGACATTTAAATATTTTTATCTTCTACAGAATTGACACGAAGCATTTTTTGAAAGTGATTTAATTACCTTCAGTCATAATAATTTCTAAATACAAATGATCGCTGACCGCTCCGACCCCTTTATGCATGCTTTTTAATAATTAAAAATTCAAATAAATTGTATCAATTCTTTTAATCCAACTATGGAAATACTTCCGGAGTTACACATGTGTTTTGTGCAGTCCAATAACCAAGTAAAATTAATTTTAGTTGTAATTTTTTTTGTTTGAAAATGTTAAATAAGTAAAGTAGGTATTTTGTACATAATACAATCATATATTATGTTGTTGAACAACTATTGATAATACAATCACCTAGTTTACTTACTTAAAGTTTTATTTGTACATGCATACCACTTGTAAGTCTAATACAATATATTAAATAAACAATATTATGTCAAGTGTGCATAAACTCTTGAAAATCGAATTTATTTGATTTGTTTTGTTTGTATTATTTTGATTAGTTTTATGTTTAAATATCGGTTACACGACTATTAACCAAATTAAAAAATGTCTTTTGTTCACGTGGAAATTATGCATAATATTTTTAAATGGATTTAAATAATATTTTGATCTACATATAATACCATAAGTAGTACACGTCATGCTAATTGATAATACCTATTGATTAAAATATAATTGTTTATACTGTAAAACGCACAGGCCTGAACCATGACGCAAAAGGTAAATAATCTTAATCTTAATTTCTAAAATCCATTTACGCATGTCTAAGTAAGCTACTCTTTGCCCTAATATTATGTATAATATCCAACTTTAAACATAAAATTTAGCGTTTGACTGTCCTAATCTTTCTAGTGCGTTCACGACCCAACATAACGTAATAAAACAAAACAAATAAACATTATGACGTTTGTATTTAATGGGCTACGGCAAGATTAACAGACCTCAAAATGACACATCCAATTAGGCAAAAACCTACCAGATAATTGTCCTGCAGAGAGAAATAATTTTGGCCAACGTATACTAACAAACTATGATAAGGTTTAAACCTTGAACCCAAACAACACAGCGGAAAACAATTTATCAACCGCTAATTGTAGTATATTAATATTTATGTAACCATCTAAATTATATAATCCTTTTGATAACACTATTAAAATAGGTTCATGCTACAATAATTGTACTACAAACTCTGACAAACAAACTATACGAAGAAAACTAAGGTTGAAACAGTGGTGAATTAGCAATCGATTCCTTGTCCGAGGTGATAAACTATCATAATATAATATATAATGAATTATGGCAATATAACATTACAGAACTTAATTCACCTCACTAAAACCAAAATGAAATCATAACTAATTGAATGGTATACTGTCAATAATATTTTATTGAATAGTTTTTTCCGCTATTTTATTTATTTATTGAAAAAATCTCAAATCTTTAATTTTGTATGGACATCTATATTTGTTTTCTAAATAATATTCAGTTCCTTTGAAAAGTTCATCCTCCAAAACATGTTTTACACACAAATAATATCAAAATAGGATGACGTTTTGGAGGGAACATCATAACAGTTATAAAAAATGTATCCCAGAAAGAAATCCTAGAAAAAATTACTATTTTAAAAAGCTTTTTTCGACATTTAATATTAATTTAATATTACTTTTAACGAACCAAGTTAGAGCAATCCCTCCTTATAATGGTCGTTATTTTATAGACATAAATTACAAATTTTCAACTTTTTGGGTAAAACATGATTTTCAGGTTAAAAATGAGGGGTTTTGCGTAAAATTAATATTAGCTAAAAACCAAAAAATGTAATAATTTATTTGTTGTTTGCATTTGACTGGTTAAAACATCTGTTATAATTCATAACAACACGATAAAAGTGTAGCTTCCGATCTAATTTCCTTTACAAGCCAATAATTAAATTTTCGACGGATTAAAAAACAAAAAAATGCATAACAACAAGTATTATTAATAATCGGTCATTAAAACTGTAATTAATAGCTATCAACTTTTTAAAAGCATTTCCAAACCATTCGTGAATCGCATAATACTGCAGTGCAAACAAACCGAGCTTTACTAGGCAATCGTCGTCATATTTTATTCATACATTTAAATTAAACATAGTTTAAAATTTCAAGGAACACACAAATGGCTGTAATTGAAACTTTAAAGCTATCTAATAATCAAATCGTTCAGAAATCAGACGTTGACTCATCAGATTATTTATTTTATTCATAAATGCAGTACATACTGTTTAAATATAATAAGTTTGATTAACAAATCAAATTTATCGACTAAGTTATTCCTCGTAATTTTTAATGAACAATAACTTCAAGGTCGTTTTCTTTATAATATTTAAAATTGTACTTTATACATTGCAATGTAGTGTTTTACCTCAGTAGCAATCATATGCGTCTCCTAATCAATCAAAAATATCGATGGTTTATTGCCTAATTAAAAAATGTTTTAAGCACAATATAACGATTTTACTGGAGATAATTTTAAACATTTTTATTCTTACCACATTTTGGTAAAAAATGTACATACTCACATAGATAATAAAAATTAAAAACGCCCTACAAAATCTGAGTAGTCAAAAACTCGTTAAAAAAAGGTTGACCCAGCTAAATTTTTTTTGGGGTGTACATAAATTCAAATATGACCCATTTTTTTTGTTAGTAAATACCGAACATTTGCTGGGCTTAAAGAAAAAAAAAACCACTGGTGGTCACGAGCCATGCTGGGAATACCTACTGTATGCCAGAATCAACTCTATAGTCCGGCGGATTGAGTTGACCAATAGTTATGTCATAACAAAATATCATACTGACCCGAGTGGAATACTTGTTGTTTGGATGTTATATCGGCACCCGCCATTTCGTAGTCGCTGTCCCGAAATTTGGCGCCGGCTCCCGCTTCGCTTTCCACGGTCACGTTCATCCCGTTCTTGCTAAGCAATTCCACCGATCCGGGCACCAAGGCCACCCTGGAAAAGAAAATCGAACCGCGGTTTCAAAAACGGCACTTACCAAAGTACAAAATGATGCGAGCTACCTTTTTTCGTTCGGCCAAGTCTCCTTGGGCACTCCGACTCTCAGACGGTTGTACGGTATCGATGACTCGTGTTTGCGGACAACGTCCTCGCCCAGACCAACAGTCCGACGCAAGTTGTACCGGCGTCTCGTTATCCTCAACATGGTGTATAAAAAACAAAGATCCTTTTCTGATATTATTATATTATGTTCCGGGTCTTCCAGCCCGAGCGGCGCACGAAGTTCACGATTTTAGATACAAACGATCGTACGCGTGAAATACCGCAAAAGCTAAACCATTACACATCGGGGAGGAAAAATAACACTGTTGTAATAGGCGGGTGCTATACGGGCTACTTATTATCGACTGGGAACCGAACGCGACAAAAACAATATTTATACAATTTTATCATCATCGTAATCGTTGAACGATACATCCAACAGCGTACGAACTCGTGGGCACGAATATGATCGCAACGTGATGTAAAGTGTAAACGAACGCGTATTGTACTATAGTACAATAATATTTACTTAGCTCTGTTCGACCGTCCCCACTCGCAGGCTACAGCAGTTATCATTATTATTAGATACATTATTTAACCGTTTCCAAAATAAAGTAACCATCCAATGCTTCTCAAAAACTCTCGACGGCATCATCGTCGTCGTTCTCCTCCTACTTCGTCGTCTCGCCTGACGGCTAGCCGTTATTTTCCCTCAACCCTCGTCCTTATTCCCTTACAGTTTACACGATACTGCATCGTACAAGGTCAATTCGCCCCGCCAACACCTAACACATAGGGTGTAACATAACATAGTCATATATATATATATATATATATATAGAAGCCAAACGTACTTTGTAACATGGACACAAGCTGTACTTCCCAACGATGCATCACCAACGATTATCTAGATTATTATTACCTTCATGGCAACATTATTCGTGTAAATTGTAATCAATAATTTATTTATTTTTAGTACCTTCGTATTAAAATACAATAATAAATAACAATACGTATGGTCAACATAAACTAATTTGCTATTTAATTGCACGGTTTTCTTGTAATTATAAAATACACTGTAAATACTCCGGGTGATTGGCCAAGCTCAAACAATACTTCTATTACTTTTTTCCAACCGCAAAACATTACTATATGCACGTTTCTGGGAAACTATGTAGTTTTACCTTTGAACATCATTGAGTGACTAAAAATGTATATACATCCTTAATATTTTGCAATCATCTATTTTTATTAATAAGTGGTGTAAAGTAGTAATATTTTAATTATATTATTTTCCGAATCATTTTTTTTTAATAAATCTTCTCATTGCTCTTTCGATTGCCCAAAGACAACCCATATATTTATTTTAAAAATACAAACATTTCCTACCAGAAAATAAATATATTTACCGTTTGACAACCATGTGCAGTTAGTTTATGAATTATTAATTACTTTCATGATGCCTTAAAACAAGCTGCAGAAATAGTGACGCATTATAGGTACTCACCTACATAACATTTAACTCCTCTCCTACCACTACTTAAAAATAATTACAACTTAAGAAATTATGGGTAATTTAAAATCGGCTATTAATTGTATAGCATTAATATATTAATGAAATAATAAAATATGTATGCTGCTACATTTGAACATAAAAAAAATTAAGACAATTTATTTAGGTTAAGAGGACGCTGCATATGCAGTTTTTACATGTAATACATGCTGGGTTAGTATTATCATTGATTATAATTAGTATTTTCATACATATCATAAAATATGTATAGTTCTCATATTCATAGTTCATATTTATTACAAATAAACAATATTGGCATTAATAAAAATATCTTATCTCTTACTATGCACTCTCGAAGAGTTTTTTTTCTATATCATAATTATCTTTTCAGATAATACCATATAGATTAAATATAATGTAGGTAGTCTATAAAATTCGCCTAGAAACCTTAAACCTAGAATCTCATAACGGCTGCTTCAACGTCCATTAAGCTACAAGTAGATAATAAATAGGCCACGCTAAAGTAACAACCGACAATATTATTTTAGGTACCTAAATTTCTGGGTTTCAAAATGTTAAAACTAAACAATAAACAATAAACTTTGTCTATCTAAACTAAACTTAATCTGTGATATTTTCTAAAAAAAAATTTTGTTTAAAAATACCTTTTAAAGAAAAACTAATTAGCAATGAAGAATCCTTACAAGTTTATTAATTTAGCACATTAATATTTAAATTAAATTAATATTTGTCTATAAAAAATTATGTATTCCCCAATTAAAAGGGGAATTCTTGTATTAAAAAAATCGGAAAATTCAGAATACCGAGTGCCAGAAAGTCGACTATAAAAAACAAGAAAATAAATATTGTAATACAATTTTGTTTCTATAATCAATTTAATTCGTTGAAAAGACATTGTAAACGTATACGGTATAGGCTTTAATGTCTTGACAATTGACGCAGTTAATAAAACTCGAAAAAATAATAAAAATTAGTCATAACTTGAGAGACCTTCTAAAGCATACTACCTATTTGATTTCTCAGCTCGGATTACATTCAGCAAACTATATTATTCAATGAACGTCTCGCGTAATTTTCCTAAACAAATTAAAGAGAAACTTTTCTAGAAACTGAGTTTTATTTGACTTTAGTACAAAAAACTATAGAAAAATATATCCATTAGCTCTTAACAACATTGATGCCTACTATTTGTTAATAATTTGTAAATTCAAATTTCAGTAAAAATAAATTTTATTTTAAGTAAAGAAAAAAAAGAATATTTTTAATTTTACTATAAATAATAATCAAGCAACTTTTTATTGTACTTGCAACATTTTAAAGTTAGTTAAATAACACCAATGATAATTATTTAAGGTGTTTTTATTCTTTTAATTCTATAGTTATTTTATTGAAACAATAAGTAATAAATATACATTCCTATTCCCTCCTCACAGATAACACAATAGATTACTAAATTTGTTTATATAATTTTGAATAAATATTGATAAATTTAATTGTTTGTCTTAGTTCTGATGTTAGTTAAATAAAAATATCATTTTTAAAATAGGTTTTAGCTTAACTCTTTATTAACTTAAAAGCAGACGAGAAACTATAAATATTCCATAGCATTTACAGTAAATGTTGTATATTTATTACACGCTATACAGTATAATAAATAACAAAACTATAAATCGCCAGTTTTTGGTTAAACATAATTTAAAAATCGGTTTTTGTTATATAATATGATCATACTAAATTGAATTGGATATTTTAAAAATGACACACGTGTAAAATTGGAATTTTTATACTAACTTCAAATAACTTAATTACTAAGAAACTTAACTTATTTTGCATTTTTACCCATTTATGAATTTATTTTTAAGATCTGTAATTTATAATTTTACATTTTTTATTGCCAAAATAAAATTATTGATATTAATAAATAATACCATATAAGATATAACATCCAACTAATTCAAGATGAAATATTTTAGATACATTAGGTAATATAGGGGCAGACCGACAGTAAAAGTTTGCTCAAATCTGTTCTTAATCATTAGCTCACAATATTAAATATGAATAGCCCTGACATAATTTTAAATTAAAAAAATATATATTTTTAAACATAGTCAATTTCAATTACAATATCATTCCTACTTAACCATCTATAACTTAATGATAAATATTTGGTTTAATGCAAGTGGGCAAAAATAAAAGAATCACTAGCATAAAAGGCCCTATCCAGTCTGCCCCAATGTTAATACTCAATACAAAAAGTTATTTTTTAGTTATCTTAAGTCCCGTAATAACATATGATTTGATCTATTATTTTAAAAATGTTTAATCTCTGTAAGACATTTGTAAAACTATTTTGTATGTAACTTGAATAGACTTAAAAAACTAATGGTGAGTAATATTAAATGTCCAATTAGCTTCTAAGATAATAAGTTTACTGTCTAGTAAACAAAAGCAATATAATTAGAAAATGAATCAAGTTTTAAATTATTGTTATGAAAATTAAAAAAGTAATAATAAGATAATAACAACATATTTATACAACATTCCATTATATATTATGTATTACATTATATTTCAATGGTTGTATAAACATAAATATTATGTGTTAATTTAATACTTCTTAAAAGACAATTGTATTATCGATACAAAAAAATGCATGGTGTAAAATAGAAGTAAGTTAAAGTGTTTTTCATAACTAAAACGTTAACAAAATACTTTTTACCATAACGTTACATATTTAGTTATGGCACATAATACTCACTTACAAAAAAAAAAAAATTATAATAAAATATATACAGCTATTTTTCTTAACATTTAAGGCATGACTTATATAATATGTAAATATTATTGTTTGTATAAAAATACAAATTTAACATACCTTTAATGTTTTATAAATAACATGTGTGTGCTATAATTATCATACAACAAATTTCAATTAATTAAAAATCTCATATATAAATATATGTGTGTAGATATATATATAAATATATTTCAACTTATGAATTTTTACTATAGTTTGACAATATTCTGTTAACATGTAAAAGTCTTATTAAAGAAAAAAAAATTACCAGTCAGAATACATACAACTTGCATCGATAACACCCTAATTGTTCATGCATAACAAGCATTGTAACTTATTATAATTAAAATAATAACTTATGATAATATTTGTAAAAAATAATGTGATTTTAAATTAAAATATCCCTAAAAAATTGGGAATTAAGTGTTGGTCAATAGAAGCCACATCACTTTTAACTAGACTTGAACTTTTTGGTTGGCTGTTCTTCTACTACGTCCATAGCTGATGATTCAACAGCTATTCCTGCAAGTTAAATTTATTGTAAAAAATAAAAATGAATACAATGAAATTGATAAGACTCACGAGATAGAAAATTGTGTAATTTTTTTGGGACACATGCTTTCGCCTGTTCTAATTGTTCGGCAGTACTGGTTCCGGTATTAAGACCTTAATAAAATAAAATTAATACATTACATACACAAATACATATATTAAATAAACAAAAAAAATCCATACCTAGTGACAAATTCATGTTTTTCAATAAATCCATGTCTTCAACAATTTCATAGCTATTACTAAATCCAAATAAATATTCTTTCCTATTGTTAAAAATACAAATTAATAAAGATATTCTTTTATAATATAATTATTAATAATGTAGTGTTTGTTTTTTAATAGCATACTTGTCTTGAGATATACTGCAATCTATTACTGTTCCAGGATCAGCTTTTATGGCAATAAATGGCAAGCTAAGGACTGATGCAGACGATGGCCGACCATATATTTGTTCATATTTTTTATTTTTTTCAACTAACTGTTTAAAGGTTACTTGCTGTAAACAATAAAAGCAAACAATTTTGATTAAAAAAAATTTATTTTTTTCAAACATCATACTATACAAACCTGTATAATTAACTCTTGTAAAAACGCTTGCTTTTCGTTCAAACGAGCCATCAGATCATCTCGTTCCCGTGTTAATGTTGAGGACTCTTGAACTGAAGTTACTGGTAAACCTATCCATTTAATTTCTTTTTTTTCTTTTGAAATAATATTCATTGCCATTAAAACATTTAAAGCATCATAAACACGTCGTCTAACATTCTTTTGATCATACTATAAAAAAAAAAAATTGTTATTGACTAACGCTACATACAAAATAGAATAGAATATATTATAAAAAATATTGTAATACATTAAATAAAAATATATTATTATTATAAGCTACACGATAATCAAAATTATCCTGAATTAAACATATAAAATATTGTACAACTTATAATATAGAATATAATATTTTAGTATTGTACTAAATTAAATGATAAGTTTTAATTAGATGGTACATGTCTATGTATTACTTAACAAACATTGTAAGTACAAAGTTATAATTTTACAAGACATTTTCAAGTTGTTCCTTTATAGTCCATAAAACATTTTTACACTTTCTAACAGTTGAAAATGAACTAATTTATTTTCCTCATTTTTGCAAACCAAACCTTGTTATTCTTTTCCATATTTTTATAGTAAATACATTTTGGCCAACGAATAATAGAAATACAATTTTTTATTTTACAGTAATAGTGAGTGGTTACCTGTTCAGCATTACTGCCTTCTGGATATTCAGCAACAAGCTCATCAGCTACTTCATTGTATGTAGTGACCTTTTTACTTCTTACTTTTTCACAAACACGCATAGCAAAATGACGTAAGCCTTTTCCCGGTTTTTCATTACGCCGTCGTTTACTAAAAAATACATTTTAAATTTTAAATTACGTCCAAATAAAATTTCAATGGTTTTATTAAATATAATGTTAAGCAATACAATAGTATGGGATGTAATAAACTACTTGGTATTATTTTGTTATTGCTTATTGATAAAATAAGCAAACTCATGCAATCACTTTAAAAATTTTAGATCACGAAAAGTTGTATTTTTTTCAAAAGAATTTAAATCTTGGAATATCTGGTTAAAGCGTTCTGATGGAATTTGGGGCCAGGAATCTATGGACAAGCCCAGATGAATGTGCAGGTCCCTTGTCGTGATGGAGGTTCCACCATATTATGTCCCTTCATTTATTTGGTTGCACACGGCAGACTCAATATCTCTCAAGCTTGAGAACCTCAACATATATGATAATGAATAATCCTACTAACGTCAAAAAAAAAAAACTCAACATCTTTTTTACAAATGACCTTAACCAGCTTTGCGAGAAAGCTTATGTGGAATGAACTTGAGCAGTGACCTATCCTCCTTTTAATACAAACATTTTAAGAATTCTTAGTTTTGTGTTGTTGTGTACAACCTTACGGGTGATTTAAAAATAAATTTCACAAGTTAGAAAAAAATCTTAGGCTAAACACGAAATCATAAAAAAAAAACACTTTATAAAATGTAAGTATACTAAGTTTTTGTTAAAAAAAAAAAAAGATTATAAACTGTTTTTAACATATTTGAATATTACTGTAAGTTAAATAGTTTGTACTCAATTGATTACAATGTACAATACAATTTTAACATTTATTTAAAACAAAAACCAAAATAAATCATCTTTGTAGGATTTGTCAAAAATACAAAACATACTGAAAATATCGCAAAACTGATTTTAATAAAACTTAGGAGGCAATTTAAATGTATGTTTATTATTATTCATCATTCACCTTTCTTTTTAAATAATAATATGTTAGTATGTAGAAATTAAATTGTGTGAAAAATAGTTATTTTAAGAGGCAATTGTATCTGCGTTTTAAATGCTTACATAAGTTACAATAGTTATGTAAATATTGGTTTTTAGTAGGTTAAAGTTAAATTAGCCTCTATTATTTTAGTTTATCAGCCATTTATTTCTTAACAATAACTATTTTTTTTTTTTAACTTAAAACAAATCTGTGGTAGGATGTCACAAGATGATACACCACTTTTATCAGCATTCAAGAAAATGCAATTAATGTTATTAATTGATACTAAAATTCTAAAATATTATTTTTATAAATATTATAAAAATATTCCTTATGATACCAGAAACTTGAAAAATAAACCAAAAATGTATTTTGATTAATAAATAAGTTGTGTGTTAGGGAGAAAGTCACATAACTTTTTTTTTCGTTCTTTCTTTATTTACAATCTATACAAAAATATGTATAATCAGCAAGTCTGATGACAAAGATAAAGTGACAATATTCAATAATGTAGGAATAAGACCAGAATACATAACTTTTAGATACAAATTTTCAACTTTTTTTGTTTTAACATATCTGCATAAAATGTATTTTTCAAAATACTCTATATTAGCAACCATATCTTGGTAATAAAAGTACTCAGATATATATTTCCTATTTGTGTAATACCTTTTTTAATACATATACTATAGTCTATAACTTACTAATATCACGTCAAAATAGACAAAAAAGTGATAACCAACCTTTGCAATCATACCAGAGAAATATGCATAGTTTTCCCAACTTGTATGGGATAATGGTAAGGACAAAAATAATTCTTAAAATAATTATCAATAAAAAAATGCAATTAAAAGAAATTTAAATAATGACTTTAATTAAAATTATTTAAACATTTCTTCGAGAGGACAGTTTTAATTCTCGTTTTTTTAAAAAAGCTAAGAAAATATTTTCTGAATTTTTTGGAAAGTTCTATTGAGAAAGTGAGGTTGTTGTTTTTAAAATACCGTTAGGTGTTAACACTTTTATAGTTTGATAAACAAAGTAATTTTAGCTTATAATTTAGTTTTTGAAAACAATTATTTTAAAAATTAGATTACACAATTAAAAAGAAATAATAATAATAATATGTACAGTAATAATAATTTTGACGTTCAATTAAACAATACACATATTTCCTGGATCAACGATTAGTACTAAATTTTTTATTATACTAATTAATCAATAATTATTATTTTCATTAATTAAAAAATAACAACCTAATAGGTAATATTTTTTAAGAAGGCAAGGAACATAATTTATTTTTCGAATTACAATAAAAAAAAAATAGATTTTGATAACTAACTCTAACAACAAATAACTAATATTTAATTTTATTTAAAGAAAATAATGTTACTTAAGGAAAAAAAATCATTAGTTATTTCAACTTTTTTAACTTCTTAACAGCCACTACTAAATGCAAACTATATGGTGCAACTATTCTAGTTCTTAACCTTTAAACACAACAGCCGTTTTCAATTTCTCTAAACATACCAACAATTCTTAATTGTATTAATTTGATTAAGTCTTATATGTATTATATTTTGTTAATTCAAATTTCATTATTTTAATTTTCCTGATCTTACAGTTATGATAAAAATTTCACATAATCTTCACTCAAGCTTCCAGATATTAATTTTTTTAAAGCTTAATACTTGCTAAATGTACTATGACATTTCGTAATATGATAAAAAATGCTGCGGTAGGTGGTGTGGCTTACACTAAAAAACTGTTTGTAAATTGCACGATACAGACGATGCAGTGCAATACCTGTAACAACTGAGAATAAGTGTGTAAGTCGATTCCAGTGATTTTACAGGGGAGCGATTTTTTCATGATCCTCATAATAATAAATACTTTAGAGGTGAGTACTAGAAACTGGTTTCTTTCTTAAAATCGCTAAAAAAAAAACCCTGTAAAATCACTGAAATCGACTTGCACACTTATTCACAATTGTTACAGATATGTAACCATTTCTTGTAAATTTCATTACTGCTGAATAAAATGATCATTCTATCTATCTAAATACTGCAAGGTCTTAAACCATGAATAAAATATAATATTTCTTACAATCAATTTACAAATACATCTTTGATCTGAAAATTCCTAGATATCTTATTTTAATTTCTACTTTGAAAAATATTATATGGGTAATTTTAATTTGACTGGACATAAGGGTAGGTTAATCTAAGGGCGATCTGGCCATCACTTCTTACCACTGCTGTAAAGGTTGAATAAGTTCTCATAAATGGAGGATATTTTTAATTTAGCATTTAAGTTAAGCCTAAGCTCTAATGTTATAGACTATAGTAATGCTATACTATACTATTTTTTTAAAATTAACTGGTCAAAATGGTGGTAAATGGTTTATAGTTTAAAATACATACATTATTGAAATTAACTATACATTTTTGTGTAATAAAATGTATTTTTTAAACACCAACTTGAATGTCATATTAAACTATAATAACTTTGGATAATACAAATTAAATTAAATTACCTTCTTATCTTTTTAGCATAGTTTACAAATTTAACATAAACAAAACAATCTAAGAAATATTAAGCTTCACTGAAATTGAAATTATGAGCCTTATATCGGTGATAAAATTACATATTATCTAACTCTTCATCTCACCACAGATGTATTAAAATGTGACATTGATACATTTCACACAAAAATTTACAAACTAGAAATTTTCTAAGTTTGCCAAATGTTTCATATATACCAACCAAAAAACTTGTTTACCGATACTTTGTGCTTCGTCATAACCACAAATATTATTATTTTAATTCATTTAAAGTTGTACTTAAATTAGACTAAATTTTATATCACATAATATAGTTTTAAATGCATCTAAACCATAGGTAAGATGCTCAATGATATTTTGTTAAAGCATATTTTTAAAACATTGTAGCGCATGGTACACTTCAAAGAGAAATTAAAATCCAACATGTTTAAGAAGCGTTCACGACTTCAAAGAAGGGGATAATTTAATAATTTTTATTTAAAAACGATGATCAAACGTACAAAGCTTTGTTCTATGTTGTTAATTTGATACCAGCTGTACCCTCGGTTAATAAATAGTGTATGGTCTACTCAAATGAGCTCTGTTCATCTCCAAACTTTTACAAGAGGCTTGAATTTCAATTGGTCGTCATTAAAATTTTCGAGATTAAGTCAAAACTTTTTTCGGTTCGGCAGCGTAACAATGACCCATTAATAATTACGTATACTCACTAGGCAGGTATAGGGGCCATGTTAACAGCGGGAATTTGGCTGGTGGATTCGCTTTCCTGTTTGACAACGACGACGTAAGAAGACGTTGACGACGATGAAGACATCACGTATCCAACAGGCCTATGTGGCACAGGAACGTGTACCGGAATTGGTAAAATTCGAAAATTACAATACGGACAAAAAATAAAAACAAAACATTCAACAAACAGAAACAGAAAATGTCGACGACGGGCCGTCCGTTATCAACCTCACTTAGCATCCAAGTGATAAGTGATGTTTGCGCGGTGCTTGCGAACGGGCGGGAAAATCGCCGCGGTTCTCCAAAATTTCGAAAAATACGTTTTCCATGAACTCAAAATTTGCTGAAAAAATTATTTGTATTAGCTCAAAAACATTATTGGTCATATCCAAACGACGGTGCCGCGTCGATGATATTCGCGTTTCGACGTTGTCGTTGCTCACAATCACTTTCACTTGATTCGTTTTGAATTAAAAAAAAAAAAAAAATTATAAACATCTTATGATTAGTTAAATCAATCGTCGACGTCATCAATGGTTAGTTTTTTTTTAAACAAATGACTCTGGTGAGTTTTAAAATATTGACGTGTCTGTACTATCGAATAGACAACTCGCATAAAAGTAAAAGTTTCAAATACCGGAATGGAACCTACACGCGGTTCATCATCGACACTATTCTGCGTGCATTTCTTCTAAGTGTATAATTTTTTTTTATTCTTAACTTTATTATACATGATCATTTTTGTTTTTAAAATATGTATTTACACTATTGTCCTGTCCATACTACACGCGCTTAATATATACTGCAAACAGCAATATTTTACTATGTACACTGTACATGTTATATATTACCTGTACAAATATAAAGCATGACGCCAGTCATTTTAAAATAAGTTCTAGTTTTGAAAACAATGAATGAATTCAATCAATTTAAAAGCGATTAGCGACAAAAAAAGTTACTTCTTCTTTTCTGATAACAAAATTGTATAAAGGACTAAAAGCAAAAGTATTTTTTTGTATGAATTTCAATAAAAATATACAATGCTTGATCATTTTTTCAAAAATCCCAAAAAATATATTTTAAAAGTCATGTCAAATTAATAGTAGAGACCGAAAAAGTCGACTTTGTTTAAGTCAATTCTATCAATTGGATTTTAAAATTAAACTAATAATTCAGAAAAGCGCGCCAAAGTTCATGGACCAATATAAACAATTTACTGTCTGAAGTACGTAACAATAACCCACAAAAGGCGCGAATTATTATTTGAGGTTATGTTATTATCACGTTTTATCATATGAACCGCTTAACAATGTAATAGTTCATTAGATGATACCATTATTCATTTTTTAAATGCAATGTTTACAAAATACGATCATTTACTGTAATTATTCTTTATACTTTGTTAATATTGTTAATGTTAAAGGGTTTGGAAATAAAATGTTTGAACGTGTTCTTCCCTTTAAATCTCTTTATAAATTAACTTTTTCATGAATAGTTTTGTCAGTGATTTCGATACTCGTTAGTTCTATACTGAGGGTAAAATGTACTCTAACCAAAGAAAGATGTATTGTAGGTTTTGTTTCACTAATCTCTGGCACGAACACACATTTATTAAGTGTGCAAACGATGCCTGTGCCAAGATAGGAATTTATCTTTGCCTCAATTGTTTTTCGGCTGGTACTAATGATGATATTCACAATAATACCGACCCATACAATGTGCTGTGTAATGCAATACAGCTTGATAATTGTCTATGGCCTGCTCACGAAGAGATTCTACTCCTTAATACCTTCTCAGAAACAATGAATTGGGAAAAAGTTGCTCAAAAATTGGGAAGATCTTCAAAAAAATGCGAACAACATTATTTTGAACACATTGTGTTCTATCCAAAAATAAAAGAATTAGTTGTTGCAAATCAAGGAGCATTTAGAACTTTTGATGATGATTATGTAGACCAAACACAGCTTATAGAATCATTTCCTGATAGAGGTGAAGGTAAATTGTATGTTTTTTGGAAAATATTTTTTTTTATGTTAAAATTTAAATAAACACTTATTTTTATAACTGCAATAATAGCAACATACTAATAAATTATAAATTAATTTATTATCAGTAGTCTTCTTGTGGTTTTCTGCACTTCTTATTTGGGTTAGGCATTTAAAGTTTGTACCATTATAATTTTATCAATCAATTAAATATTAATTTTATTATATTTTATAATTTTCTTTAGAATCATTTCATCAATATGAATTAGCGATGCGTTTGGCTGGTTATCAACCATTACGTGGAGAATTTGATGAGGAATATGATGATCAAGCTGAGGATATTTTAAAATTACTTAATGAACCAATATGGATGGATGAAACATCTAAGAAGTTATTAGAAACAGATTTCTATAAAAAATTATGTGGGACAATAGCAGATATCTTTAATGAAAGACTACAGGAGCGTTATAGACGTCGTAAAGTAGTTAAGGACTATGGTCTTGTTTGCTTTAATAAACAACAACTATGGATCAAATCTATGGAGGTATTTTCAATTACTTACCAAGTATTTCATTTAAATTTATAAATAATTTGTTTTTTTTATTTAAGACTATTTTAGGTCCAGAAATGATTCATAGGTTAATTCGTTATCTACATCTTATTAAGCCACTAGCATTTGATTTCCTAATCACTAATCTAAAACAAGAACACAATCTACTGGCTCGAATACATAAACTAATTGAATTTCGTAGAAATGGAATTACGAAACATGCATACATTGGAATCTACGAGGAAATGAACAAGAAAAGAGAGAATAGTTTCAAAAATAAACCATCTAGTTCATCTACTGTGGAATGTTCAAAATCTCGTATAAATGTTTGTAATTTGCCGGGTTACCAAAAATTAGATGAAGATGAAAGAGAGCTGTGTACACTGATAAAAATGTTACCTGAATCTTATTTGAAATTTAAAGAATTGCTTAGAAGCGAATGTGAAAAGTCTAAAGGTATTTCTTTGAAAACTGCTAGGAGTTTAATCAAAATTGATGTAAACAAAACTAGAAAAATGTATAATTTATTAATAGAAAAAGCATTGATTTGGCAATAGGCTTAATTATTTATATTGAATTTGTAACTAAAAGACTAGTACAACAAGAAGTGAGAAAAAGTATACTTTATACATTATGTTATGTTTGAATAAAAGAATAAATTAAAACGTTTTCTAATCTTCAAAAATGTTGGTCAGTCTTCAACTATTAACAAAATACCTTTAGCATTGTTGATAAGTTTTTTTATTAAATATAGTTTATGTAGTATTTAATTAACTCGAGTGTTGCGCCCACAAGTACAACCGTGTCAATTTTAATTTCACCATTTAAAGAAAAAAAAATTAAGGATGCATAAGTTTATGTATCTGTATATGTAAAATATCTATTTTGTTTTTTTCAAGATCTGCATTAAATATAAGTCTAAGCAAACAATTATTTTCAAGTATAAATTTGTTAAATATGTTTAGGGTGTAATATGTAAATTATTGACATAGGTGTAACTGAAAATGTTGGTAATAATATTAATTTTAATTGTTTTACATTCAGAAAAACGACAAGTGATTCTACTGTAAACTGACTATCTAATTTTTGCTTAAATTAGATTCTATTGGTTATAACCTATAAAAACCATCAATGATCTATTCATCTATTTACTCTCTTGTAAATCTATCGCAGTATCGAGTAAAAACTTTTTAAATACAATTTTACTGTAAAACAACTTCATTCAAAAATCTGTTTTAATTTATAAAATAACTATAGCTGGAACTTTTATATGCAAGTTATTCAAAAACTTAACATTTTTGAAAAAGTTGTATGGTAGGAATACTTTTTTTAAGTGCTGTTATAGTTTCTTTGAGGAAATTATATAATAGCGTTCTGATGGGGTAAAAATTAATATAAATATTTTAATTTACCTAATGTTTTTGTAAACAAAAATATAGCTTAATCACAGAATAGAATAGATTATTCTATCTAATTTAGATTATTCTATTCTGTGACTAAATAATATATTTTTTCCCTATAGAATACAAATTATAAGTATCAATTAATAATGTAAGTAGCTATAATCAGTTTAACATCTTTAATTTGATAGTAAATTTATGATTTAGGAAATAAGTTGCATAGCTATAAAATAAGTATCCATTGACAGCAGCTTCTACCAATTGTAGAAGTTTAGAATAATTATGATTTTGTTAGCTCGCAACTAAAACACCATTTTTAACTTGTAAGCAGGTATGTTAATTAACTTGTATGGATGGCAGGACAGGATTAATAAGTTTCATATTTCCATAAATTAATACATAAGTGTTTGACGTTTGTATTACGTACCAAATAAAATAATACGTCCCTAATTAAAGGTTAAGATAAAAGAAAAACAAATTACGTACATATATATATCTGTAATACTTTTACACGAAATTAAATAGTACCTATAATCAGTGGGCAATAACAAACATAATTTTTAAACCAAACATAAGTATTGACCATTATGGTAATGATAAATTATATGAATAAAAACAGAAATTGAAATAATAAAACATTATCGTTTATAAATCAGTACACGTCATATTTAATGTAAAATTTAAATAATTCATTAAAGAAGACTATATTCCATCTGCATAGGAATATGATAGGTTTCGAGATGTACCGGTTTATCATAAAAACATTGCAACGCCAATGTTATGTTGTCAGTTGAAATTTATTGCAAGGAAGACATTATAGACAGACATTTTTAACAATAATAAATAAGTAGGTACCATATTACATTTGCAATTTGGTACTATATATCAGTTCCCGTTTACATATTATATACATACACTAACATAGTTGTTATATATTGAATACAGAACATAATTATTACCTATAAAATATACACGGTTTTTAAAAAATATTATTTAAATCAGTTCTTTGCTTGTTCGCTTGGATTATTGCCGAACACTTTGAGCTCGTTTCTTAGTACCTTGCCAGAAGGATTGCGAGGTATCAAGTCTAAGAATTTTACACCCCCAGCCAATTTTTTATACGCGACCACGTTCTTTTCGACATGTTCTAATATGGTTTTTTCACTTATCTCAGAACCCGGTCGTTTTACGACAAATGCTCTGGGAATTTCACCGGACAACACGTCTGGAATACCAACCACGGCAACATCAGCCACACTTTTAAGTTGCAAAATCAGACTTTCTAATTCTGTCGGTGATACCTGCAAAAAAAAAATGTATTATTTATTAAGTCGTGAGACATTTTTGGGAGGAATGTGAGAAACAGTTATTATAAAATTAATCATTTAAAATTATAGTTTTTATATTATAGTATTAATTTTGGCGCATAATTTTATCAATGTATGATAGGTCTTGAAACCTATTTTTATATTAACCCCATTTTACATTGAATATTAAATCTTAACTGACTATTAATGCTAAATTTTATTTTAAATTAATTTCATAAAGAATATAAAACTGATACCAATCGTAAAAACACTCTAACGTTAAATTATTGCGAACATTTTGTATAAATGTTCTAGAATAGTTCGATGAATAATTAATGCAATGACTCACAAGCAATTTGGCTTGTATTCAAAATTATTTTGGTTTGAGCGGCATAGTTTACGATTGCAGTCGTGAGCACGCTGTGATAATAAACGAAATTGGTTTTTCTTCCATGATGGACGCACGCGCGTTTGACTTGTGCTGTCGTTTTTCTTATCTACATAATAAATTCTGTGTGTGCATTTTGTTCACAGTGGCCGAGTTGTTGTTTACACTTCACAGTCTTGTTTTTACTCTAGCGACGGACTGCGGTTAGATTGTTGTTTCACGGGTTTTATTTTGTTTAATGTGTGCATAAAAAATATATTAAAATCGACATCACAAACTGTTCACGTACGTTTAATGTTATCTTCTGCTCAACCACAATGATCGAGAACGCGGAACTGATAATGCAGATGCTGGAGATGTACCAGATGTATAAACAGCAAGTCCCGGTCGAACTTGAGGAATATCTCAGGTACGTCGCTAAAACGGGTAATACTCTGTTCCAATGGACACTAGTCAAACCGTTTATTAGGGAAAAAATTCTCAACGTCATAGCAGAATTTACCGAACAAACATGTTTAGCTGACATTCCGCCATACCCAAATGTGGATCCGTTTAACTACGAAGCAATGAAAAACATGTTGTTGGAACGATTTGATACGTTCAACGGACCTCCATTTACGATACAGAGGTTATGTGAATTATTGTCGTGTCCAAGAAAGGAGTACAACCGAGTAGATAAGTTTATGCGTGCAGTAGAGAAAAACATTTTAGTTGTTAGCACTTGTGATTTAAAAGCCAAACGAGAAGAAACCATTGTTAACGGTTGTCCAGATCGTTGGGAAAATGGCAAAGAACTTGACATTAACATGGACTTTGTTGAAAAAGCTAACATTATTACTGCCGATCCAAGTGTCCTCAATGGAAATGATACAGTTGAGAGTCTTTTAAATGAGCTGGAATCTATGAAAACTCCAGAAACAAAACCGGATGAAAATAAAGAACCTAACCCTAACGACAATCTTGGCACTCAAGTTTCAGTTCCAGTAGAACCCAAATTAAGTTCTGAAGAGTCAAATAATGTTAAACAAGAAGATAGTCTTCAAATTCAGAACACAGAAACTACTGAAGAACTTACATCTGATATCCAAGAACCAGTTACAGAACAATTATTATCTGATGTACCGAAAGAACAACTATTTGAAGTAACAGATACTGCAATCAATGAATCAGGTGAACAAGTAATTGAAAAGCCATTAGAGGAATTTAAAGATCAACCTAAGGAAATAAGTTCCAATTATGTTGCACCTAAAATTGATGAACCAGCTGAAAAAATGAGATTATAGAGCAATTAGAAACAATACCGACAGAACCAGATCGAGTTGAAGGTTCAATAATACACCAAACTCCCGATTGTGATAATAAGTTGGAATCAGAATTAAATTTACAATTAAAAGAAGTTATGGAAAGTGTAGATAAAGGACCAGAAAATATGGACGTTCAAATTGAAAACGAGTCGAAATGCTTACAGCCCGAAGTAGACTGTGATAATGTACAAATTGCTGAACCTACTGAAATAGAAAACAAAGATGGAGAAAAATCAAATATTGATGTCAGTCCTATTACAGAAACAAATAACTCCAATATGGATGTAGAACCTGAAAAAATTGAAAATAATGAAGCCCAAGATGAGAAGGCCGAAAGTAAAGCAGAGAACTTCGAAACCTGTTCAACGGTTTCAGAAATCTCAGAAGAGGGTAATAACAAATTGACTGAAATTGAATAGTCTTATGTATGTATTGATTTAATATATTTTGTATTTCATACAATAATTTCTGAATAAGTTGTTTATTTTCTGTATAAAATCATTTGCAAATAAATATTTAAATTTGATGTAATAAGATTTAATTTCAACTTTAAAATATGTACAATTTTGTTTTGAATTAATAAATGACCTGAAATATATATTTTAGGATATTCATTTATACATTTTTTTAATTACTAGAATGAATATTATTATTCATACATTGTATTTTGTGGTTGTGTACTTTGTAAATATTTTTTTAAGACTATATATATATATATATATATATACATATATAAATATATTTAACAGGGAAGTATCTTGGAATTCCAATTTTTATTGTTATCAACTCAGGGGACACTTCTTTTTATGCTAGCTATGCTATATTGCTTGGAAAAATGAGTTCACTGATACATTTTTTTAATGTTCAAACAATTATATTTTTGTATACTACTGAAATAACGTATTGGTCAATAACCTTAGATTTGTTATTATTATTTAATAATTTTTTATATTGTATGTAACCTGTAGAATAAAGCTGTGATGCGCATGTAATATAATAAATACAAAAATATTTTTACATGTTCATAATATAAAATCAAATATACCTGTTGCAAAGTTGTACAATAGTCGAATAAAAAATTATTAGAATAACTTTCAAATATCTTATTCAAAAAATTTTCAAGTGTGATTTGTGTGGTTTTCAAGTAATTGTATTTAATATATATTAAATTTAAAATATAAAAAAACTAATATATTATTATTTAATTGTACTAGAATAGTATAATTATTTAACATTATTTATTCAAATAAATCGTGAGTTATTCGAAGAAATACTCGTGTAAATAATGAAAAAAATCATTTGAATAATGTTTTATTCGAATAAGAATTTGCACAACTCTAACCTGGTGTAAGTTTCATACTCTTATCTCAAGTACTAATAAAAAATTATGTGCTCATTAATTTTTACCTATTAAAATATAATTAAATTGTGTATAGTAAATTTATAAAATTTAAAAAACAATATTCTTTTAAGCATTTATAATTATACTACCTATATGTTAGAATAAAATCGCAACAAAATCAAATTACGTTTTTTTTTTAAACAAAAGAGTGTATAAATTATAATTTAATTACTTATAAGATATTAATTTAAAATATAAGTAATCACTTTAGGTAGTCACATTGTTCAAAAAACAAGATCTCTGACCAATAATTAATTTTAGTGGCTATTTTTGTTATTTTTGCTTTGGCAAATCGATACTTTTAGAACACCCTAACATATAAATACATTTATCTTTAATATTGCTGATACTTAAGCACCAGTAAAAAAGCATTTATAATCAAAATCGATGTATAGGAAAATTATGAACAAATATTGGTACTATAAGTACAAATGTAACTAAGGTAACCGCGCGTGTGTAAATTCATAACTGATAGCACGTATGGGATTTGCATCTATAAGTTATGACTAAACATTATCTACATAAGATGACTTCAATTAATTAATTTGAGTACCAAGTGTAACACGTCACTTTACACTAGGTACTCACATAATTTAAGGAGGATTTTCTCTTATTTATTACTTATGTGCCAACGTTTGGAACTTCTCTTCTGTATCGTTGGTAGACAAGTCAGAACTCATTTGTAATTATGAGAATAATATGTATCCTTAGATTTTATAAAAAAAAAAAAAGCAAATAAAATAAATGAACTCGATATAACCAATATAGAACATAATAAAGTCTGGACAGACAAGACTAAACTGCTTACTTGATTTCCTTTGACTTTAATAAGTTCCTTTGTTCTATCTACAATGAAGAAATATTCATCTTCGTCATAAAAAGCAACATCACCTGTGTGTAACCAACCATCTTCGTCCACAGTTTCTTTAGTCGCTTGTTCATTGTTTAAGTATCCCGCCATTACCTGCAATAATAAAAACGAAACATTAAATAAAGCTTTTGGAGAACAACGCCTATCCATAGTTAAAATAATAGGTAATAGGTATTTTAATAACCTGTGGGCCTTTTATTAACAGCTCTCCAGATCTGTGGGGTCCCAAGTCGTTTCCATCGGTCAAGCTGACCACTCTAGCCTGTGTACCTCGTATCAATTGTCCCGTACTTCCAGTTTTGTTTTCGGGCAACCTAATTCGAGTGTACAAAGACACGGGAGATGATTCGGTCATACCGTAACCTGTGCATAAATTAAAATTTATCGTGATTTTACTTATGTTTTAAACTATATTACATTTATAAAACGAGAACAAAGTTTTCTTGAATCGTATATAAGCCATACACACATATATAAATATATATAAACTTCATACAAATATAGTGTGAATTGGTTTAATGTAAATATGTTTTTTCTATAGGTCTATAAGTAACAAATACGTGCATTTTGTTTACCTTGTCTGATTATAATATCTTTTTGAGCTTTTTGTACGAAATTGTCGATAAGAGCTTTAGATGCTGGTGCAGCTCCACATGTGATCTCTCTGATAGAGCTTAAATGTTCCGGTTTCACCGACGGATGAGAGGCTAAGAACAACAGGAGTGAGGGCACCACAAACAGCATGGTGGGCTGAAAAGTTAAAATTTTTCCAAATTAATCAATAAAAGTATACACAGTTTTCAACAATACGTACTTTGAATTTGAGCACGCACTCGATATACGATTCGGGAGTGAACTTCGGTATGGTAATCATGTGAAGACCGTGAGCTAACACTCCGTTAAGTATACCGTTGAACCCGTAGATATGGAAGAAGGGCAACACACTGAGAATTCTTTCCTGATAATCGTCTACAAGATGTACAAAATTATAAAATTAGTTTAATCTTCTGACTTTTATATTAACATATAGTGAACATAATCTAGAATACAAATTCAAACGTTTATACTTTCAACGCTCTGCGAAGTTTAAGAGCCTTATCTGTATCGCAATAATTTTATACGGCTAGTGTAACTAATTGAGTTCTATTTTTTAAAATTTGTATCAGGTGATTCAGTAAGGTTATTGGTTAGGGTAGGCTTAAAAATCCTTAAAAGTTAGAAAGATATGTATAATTGAGTCCTATACTACCCTTAATTCAACCCGATAATTAAATAACTATTGGTCCTCGGTTCTTAAGTTGAAAAAAAGCTCAAAGCTCAAGCTCGTAGAAATATATTCTTCGTTATTTATAAATAATAATAATAGACTTCATAAATTCATAGTTAGTTGTAACCCTTGCGTACATCTTAGTACTTAGTTTGTCAAAGAATGGGCCCCGGAAAGCGCCTATGTATACTTAAACATGCAAGTCCATTATGCGAATAAAACCTATAATTTGGTCTTCATGTGTAGCAGTAAATTTAGTATAAGGTTCATAGTAAAAATGATAGTTTTTGTTAATGTTACTTTTATAAATTCAACGTTAAGAACACCCTATTTGAGTGTATTTCGTACTCGGAGGGGGGTGGGTATACCGCCAAATAAGGTCATTCAGTCATAATTACGCAAAGGGATTAATAGCGGGCATTTTTTATACAGGCAATATTTAAGAAAAATGTCAAAAGCTCGTAGGCTTTTGACTTGCGAGACGCGAGTGCAATGCTATTCCGTCAATAAATAATTTCCCCTAATTTCGTAATAATCCGGTTTCATCGAAGATTATTAATCACTGCGTTTCTATACAATACATGTTGGTGTTAATTGTTAAGACTTAACAATATTTGATGTAACCTGTCATTAATATAAATTATACCACAATTACCGGTAGTGGGTACGTAGTTAATGAGGTCGGGGTGTGTGCACTGTTCCAAATTGATGGCGCAGTTTCGGTGGGTCAACTTGACGCCTTTGGGAAGTCCCGTGGTGCCACTTGAATACGGCAACAGAGCGACTTCGTCGGGGAAGGACTCGGGCAGCTCATCAGGCGACTGTCCTGAGACAATGGATTTGAAATCGTATATACGTGATTTCTTGTCCGCCACTTCATCGCCGCCGAACACCACCGTTCCCTTGTAGTTCTTCAGGGACGGTGATATCTCTTGGATGACGGGCAACAACAGCGAGATGGTCATGCACAGCTTCACGCCAGCGTTTTCGAACTGACGTTTTACCTCTCCTATATGGGCATCGTTTGCAATTATTTTTCGTGTCTACTTATATGAATAAGGTCAGACAAGGCCTATAGTCATATAGATTATATAGTTAATAGAATAATTATACTTATATCTATGTACCGGAAGTGTAGAGCGGGTTGACAAAGGTGACGACCAGACCGGCTTCGAGGGCACCGTGTATGGCGAACACGTACTCTGGTAAATTTGGTAGCAACAGACCGACCACGTCCCCTTTCTTCAGTCCCAATTTGGAGATCAGTGTGCTGGCGAAAAGTCGGCATATCATACGACCTTCTCCGTAAGTATACGACCTGCCACTGCTGCCGCAAGTCTAGAAAACAAATTTGTTGCTTTTTTTAATACACGATAATCAATAAGCTGTTTATTTATAATAGCAAACGCTTAAAAAAAACAATTATAATATAATATCTATTCTTCAGGGGCGGATTAGCATAATTTGTATATGAAGAACAGCGTATTTGAGCACTATTTATATTTCCAGCGGCTTGTATTTCAGAGACTTTAAACTATAAGTATATATACATCATTTCATGGTAGCTAGTAAGAAAATTCCGTTAGTATTACACTTCAGGGGTCCACTCAATAAGCACCCCCGCCCACGAGGCTACAGGCTGCTCCTTTCTGATCCAGAATCGTACGTTGTTACTATTAAAAGCCCTTATACTTTGGTTACAGATATACAGAACAAGGCAGCAGCTGTTTCATTAGGATGTCCAAACCATCGAAATATTGTGTCCCTAAATGTTGGCATATCTGGTTTTATCACGCTCAGATTCACAAGCGAGAATTAGGAATATATTATCGGTTGTGAAGTTGCTACATGGAAAGAAGAAAGACCCGACCATTTTAATTTATACTAGTAAACTCATTATGAATTGGGTCCCGACACCAGAAAGTCGTTACCAAGCAACGAATGAAAAGAAGAATACAATACTGTTCTGGCAAATAAACCTATCTATAGGTCTATATTTTGTTTTGTTTACTTGTTATTCTGTATTTTTAGAGTTAATTTTATACATTAGCTGATTATTATTTCATTATTTTACAAAATACGCGTATAAACGTGATACATAACATTATTTATTGATTGATCCGTGAAGTGTGTAAACAAGGAGTTTTTCATGCATATCACATTTGTATATAAGTTATGCAATTATAGTGAATAATGCATCTAATATATAAATATTTAAATTCCTAATTTATTACTCTTATAGAGTATGATTGTTATAACATTTAAAATGTGTATATTTAATAAAATATTAATTAAATAGAGAATTTATTATTGTATTGCAATTTGCATTAATTAAATACTATCCACGATTTATTGATACGTTTTATAGAATCATACAAATACCTATATAACTACAATTATATTCAGCTTGAAATTATTATTTCTCGATTCTTTGCATTCAACTAAATTATACTAATAGTAGTGCTATAATATATTATAATACTACTATTAGTGTAGTTTAACGGAATGTAAAGAAACAAGAAATAATTTCAAACTTTATATTACTGTGTATTACTTTTGTTCATAATTTACAACTTTTAAAGGTATTTTATTGTGTTCAATTTTTTGTTAAATTTTCAGGTTAATTGCTGTGTTCATCTTCAGAGCTCTTGCACGAACTCCGAAGATGGACTTCCCAATTATAATCTGAAACATCGGTGAAATATTGAGGATATACTAAGATAAATTATCTGTAAATTATGTAACTAATATAAAACTACATAAAGCTGTAATAGGAAAAAACAAATTGTCGAGAGATGTCAGTTGACGAATGACGTCACGAAAATTGCAAAGATTTTGCGAAGTGAACTACATCTTACGTTTTAATAGTTTTGTTTTTGATGAACAGCTACTCTTGTTATCGATGTAATTCGTACTTAATAATCCGAATACTTATTATTAATACTATTATACCGAGCCCTAAATAAACTTGAAAACTCGGATACAATTGTCAAATAAATAAAGGGAACTCATTCAGAAAAAGGACACCAATATAATTATAGTCGGCAAGCATAGCGAGCTGTATGAATATTTTAGCAGTACACTGTACAATAATTATTACATTATGCGTGAGGATGATACAAATATATAAATGTAGTACAACCCTAGAACACGTTGTACCTGTTATTTTAAAGGGTATAGTATTTTGTGTAAACATTTATTTATCGCTTTAAGCTTTTGGCAAATGCCAATAAATTGGAGTGCATTAGAAATTATATTTACAAACTAATAATATAACTATAATATTAGGTTTATTTACGAGAGTTGTACGTGATGTCGACGAACGGTGCTCCGAGGCATTCGAAGCATTCTAGAAATAAATATACTTGGACCTATGACAGCGTTTTTCGGTTGTAGGCTTAGATAAGGTTAGTCAAATCTTATAAGCATGTGAGCGTTTATCCGTGGATTGGATTTCACATTCGAGAAAACAATTCGATGATTATGTGCACATGTTCACAGCAGCATAAAAAAATCACACTTATGACTCTGACGATGATGATACATTGTAGACTGTGATCATATTTTGTTTATAAAGTATTTTTCTCGGTGCTTACAAAATAGTACTTAATCGGAATAACACGAATTTCATAAAAAAAACTGCACTTTATGCATGTGCGTGAGCTCAATTTTTTTTGTGTAATATTTGTAAACAATTTGTGTCGTTTTAACAAATCTATTTGAGTCGTTTTGACCTTTAACCCCGGGATGTAAACCGCAAGATGGGCATATTTTATTTTTCTCAAACGTATGTTGCAAACTGCGGTCGAAGATAACGCGAGTTTATAAGTAGTGATTTTAAATTGTTCTTCACTACTGTGTGTGCCAATATTTGACGAGGCCGATTTACATGTTGAGATTTCGCAATAATATTTTTCTCGTTAATTCGTCAAGCCGGAAATCATTCGAGCCGTTGGTCTGCCAAATGGCGTACAAAAAATTTCAAAGGTCGTCCTACTATCAAATGGTAGCCTCGAGCTTTTATTTATATATATATTTATCTTTCAAAAGCAAAACATATCCGTGATTACTATTACAACAAACTGTCGTTCAGACGAATGTGTAACATTGACCCAATGCCGCGTTTCCTAGTCTATATTTAAATAATAATTGACAAGACGTGAACATGTTGCAACAAACTGTTACACAGCACACGTCATATTATTATAGTTGTCGTTGCTTTCAAAGCTTAACAAGTCGACACGACCTATGTCAAACGACCTGTACCACAACAAGCTTAGTCTTAATTCCTGTTTTTAAACATTAAAAAAAACTGACAAGCTCGTGAAACCCGGAACAGAGAAATAAAAAAAACAGACGGAGCCAGTATATAACGCAATAGGTAATGTATGTACATTAATCGTATTAATACTATACATGAAACATGGAAACTAGCGTCGGACGTTAAGTCCCGGGCGAATGGCAATTATTAGAGCTATTATTGTAAATGATATGCTAAAATAATAAATAGTATTATGAAATGTAATTAACAAGTTAACGTTCAATTATGTGGCGTTTAATAAAATATACATGTTTTCTATACCGTATCCGATGTCGTGTAAACAACATTTCGAATTGATTAATAATTATTCCAATAGCGACATTAAAGCTTGACACCCTGGTAGCGGAATTTATGCGTTTATAATTTTTTATTATTAAAGAAACCAAATAAGAAAACTCATTGATTTTGAGCAAAGGTGTCAGTGTATGTAATGGCTAATCGATAATATAAAAGTGATGAAGAATTATTTTTCGCGGGCTTCCACACGTTCTACGTCAATATATTATCTTGTAAGGCTTCCAAATAACATAACAATAACGAAAAATATTACTATAAAAAAACACGGATGGAGTGTTGGAAAATCAAATTGCTGTGGAAAAAATAATCATTGCATTAGACGTTTCCGGGATAACCTTGAATTTTTCTAGTATGGCTGTTATTTTGTTTATCCCACGGTAATTTTAGCTTTAGGTATTAAACGCGGCCTTCACCCATATTATGCATCTACACTACGCTTAAGTCAAAATCGTTAACGACAATAAATCAATTACGATTAGCGAGTATAAAATTGCTATTAATTACTAATTATTATTATGCGTACAAAATTACAATAGCATGAAGATAGTGCGATAACACAATAATGTTCAATGACCGTATGGATTCGATGGTATACGCGTAGAATATTATAACAACGTTGTTAAAAAAATTTTGTTTCAAACCGCCCTGTCATTCATGTGGCCCGTGAGTTAAAAATTACCCGTTGACCTACTCTGTCTCAATACTCTGTCCTTGATTTCGCATCTCAAAATATAATATGAAATTGAAAAAAAATGTTAACATACATATTTATTATATTTACAAATAACATCATTAATGTGTTGTACAGCCTCGTGTACATCTTGTTGTTTACACACAAAAAAAATGGCCTCTGTTATTTAGAGCAACTTTGAACTTCAAGCGTACGCTATTACGAGTGTATAGGAAGTAGCGTTATGTCATTGCATAATACGAAAAACAAATGGAGTAAAGTACAAACTACAAAAATAATATTAACTAACTGTAATAAATGCCAGTAACGTACAGTCAAAATATAACGTAATCGGGTTTTTGAACCATTTAATAGGTTTTATATTATCTTTATCTCTTTAAGGTTCTCTATTGAAAATAAATACCGTACCTATCACACGTCCAATTAAATAGTATACATATTGAACTAAAAGACGATTATTTTTTTTCACATAATACAATTTTATATATGCAATACGTTCGGACTTCAAACTGTGACTTTTCACTATAAAGTACACATACACACGCACATTTGGAAGAAACACACCAATATGACCAATCCAAAGTACGCAACGAGTTCACAGTAATATTACCTGACCAATAATAATGATTGTTTATTATAAGTTTGTTAAAACAAAACGGGTTTTTAGAACGTCGTAATATGGATAAAACAAATTGGAAATTAAAAATAATGTGTGTATTTGCCATTTTGCCAAGTTTAAGTACAGTGGACTTTATACACTTGGTCATTTGGAGTGATACGAACCGAATTGCAAAAAAACAATTTAACAGGTAAAACGAGGAAAACAACAGTGACGTAAGTTCTACTATTGAAAAAACAAACAAATATTTTATGAGATATTTTATAGAGACGGATTTACGCCTGTGGCTCGAAAATAGAAATGCTTTAAAGAGTAAAGCCCAAACATGATTTTCAGACGAAACAGCGAAAACTAACAAAGGTCCAAGTGGAATCACAGTAAAATATAAATGCAAATACTATGCGTTTTCAATAAAGTTAAATTATTAAAAATCTTCTTTTTTTTTGGTAAATATTATAAAACATGATTTTGCATATAAATTTATCTCACTTGCTTCTAATTTCCTTCATCAAACTGTAATAATGATAAGTAAAATAATCTTAATTTTAAAAATAATTATATTTGATACTGGCGTCACTTAAAAAATATATTTTGCCCTGCGCCACATAAGATACGTAACAAAATTACAGGCCGTTGAGCTGTGAAACTAGTCAGCAGCAGCGTCGCGGTTTGCGGTGTATAAAAGTTTACATCGACACACTCAAAGATAACTGATAGAACATGTATTGTGTTTGCGATCAAGACGACCAGCAGCTATACAGTAATAATAATATATTAATATAATCGTTTAAACAAACCGATCGCAGGCTTTCTTAGAATATGAGAATGACGAACAAAAATCAATTTAAACATTATAAGAACTAGTCACAAATTTCGAGTACGCAAATCATTCCTATTAAAATTTAACGATTAACCAATATTAGTGTAGGACCAACTATTTAAGTCCGGTAATGAAATTAAGGCCCGATTTAACGAGCAGCCGCTCGTTAGACCGATCGTATAACTATTTAAATAACTACCTAATATAGGTAAAATATGCGATCAACAACCATGATGTTTGTCACCGACCGAATTCGTTCATTTTATTTGAAATATTTCGTTCGAACTACAGTCTACAGTGTAGACTCTACACGATTAGGAATGTACAGAAAGTTATAGGCCAACAGCTCTGAGTAAAACATAGTCGTTCTTCCGGTTTCTTAGTTTCATACATATCAATGTTTGATTTCCCTTTAAAACCATTCTTAACAGTATATTTAAAAAAAACAAAATTAACATTCTGTCGCCGTCTACCGAAATTGTTGTAACTTCATTTTCAGTTTGTACTGTTTGACGTCGAATACAGTTGGACAAAAAAAAAAACTATTCGCATATGTTTGTGAAAATAATAAACTTTGTGGTACCTATACTTATTTTTTTGCCGTCAGGAATTAATTAGTAATTACAATGTGGCGTCGGACAAAAAAAAGTATTTTCAGTGTAGCTTGCGTTATTTCTACTCCTAAAAAAACTATATCATGTTAAAAAATATTTTTAAAGACAAAAATCATATCTCAATTAAAAACTGCAATAACATAATTAGTAAATGCAAATTTTGATTTATTGAACAACTTAAAACGTGTCAAATTTTTGTTATCTATTTAGAAACGATTTCGATCTTGGGTTGAGCCGTAAAGAAAGGCAACGTTGAATATTGGATAAAACTGAATGGAAAAAATACAAGCCGTCGGATAAAAATAAGTAATAACTTAAATGTTGCGTTTCGAACTCGGTCTTTAGCAAAGGGTCGAGTGGTATTATCTGGCCGCTGGCGGGTAATTAAATTTCGTTAACGACACGAAGCGAGATAACGTCATTCTAAAACTATATCAGTCACACTTACTATCATCGGTTTATCCTCCCACTTTTCGATGTTCCTCCAGATGTATTCGGGCAGGGTGACGTCCACGTTGTTGACGGGTCCGAAAGGCGATTCCAGGATGATTGGCTTGGAACTGTACGGGCGAATCCGCCTGTGTGAGGGCCACGGATGACCGTCGATCCTGCGTAGAACGGACCCTCCGCAAAACAGGCGCCGGGCGCCGCTTATCACTTTTAATCGGTCCATGTCGAATTAACGATACGATATATATAAATATAATATACTTCGCTTCTTGACGGTCAGCGGTTGAGGTTTTTTTTATTTTTAACGCTCCACTATGGGCCGGCGGTCACTCGGGTCGTGGACGGATTGCGGTGGCAAATCAAATATTGGATTTAGTAAAAAAGCGGTTACTACGAAAATAATACAATATTATTATTGTGTTACGATAATCGCCGAACGAGACTCGAAGCATACGGACCGCGCACTCTCTTGTCGGCGCACGGCTCACTACTGATAACTGAAGTCTGAACTCAAATCGACGAGCCGAGCACTCGCCCTAAACGTAAACACGCAACATGTTGTTGTACTCAGACGCACGCATTACTATGCGCGTGGTACATTCAGTATGCGGTGGGCGGCGCACGATGCATTTTTACCGCGTTGCCCGACGTGGACATACGGAGCGTACCAAAAGTACCGTGGCACGATATTATAGTTGTTGTTATAATAATACGCTATTATTATGCACCAAACGCGGAGACGGCCCAACAATTGAAAATGATTTCGAAATTCACGCAATCTATTGTTATTAAAAATTGTACATTTTTAGCCAAAATGTGTTTATTGAATAATCTGCAATCAAATTACAGAAGGGTTTTTGTCTTGCAAAAACGTGGTAAACAAAATAGCCCATATATATTTTTTATCGTTAGAAAGCGTAAACAAATTAGTCAAATACTGTAAACGAATGTACCTAAAGCAAAAAAAATTGTCTCCTGTAAAATAGTCGTTTTTTTTTAAAAATAATTTTTGAATTTAGTCATCCATACAATTTTATACCATTTTTAAAAAAATAATATAAAAGCTTTCGGTGCAAAGTAAGTGATCCCGACGACAATGGAATATTATTTTTAATGAAGTGCCGATGACAGTGTTATAACGCCGTCACTTTATTTATTGCTTTTCATCTCTTACGTTGTAAGATTACGCGAGTACTGCAAAAGTATAACACGGGTATGAGAGGAATGAAGCTCATATAACTACACAAATGTTAAAAATGAGAAAGTTAAGGCGCTAACTTAGGTGTTATAGAATATTATAATTATTATTGTAGTTTATCAATCATTATCAGTGGCGGCGCTATGTGTTAAAGCTGTCTAGCCGGACCACAGCCTTTCAGAATAGGCTTAGCTCACCATAATAACGTTATCTTAATTTCCTAAAAAAAAAAAGAACTAGTTCCATATTAAAATAAGGCAACTGGGTGGTTTGACTACAATAGATGATAACCTCTAAATGTAAGCTACTTACGGATATGCGAATAGGTCACACGAATTTAATTGTATTGTATTTTTTCGTATTGGATACGAAATAAGTTAATAACATAACAATAATGTAATAACCAATGATAGCTTAAATAACTAAGAGCCACAGGCCCAAGGCCATTAGAATAAAACTACTAGTCTTTACAATGCCAAATGCTTCCACCTAAAAGCTATCGTTATAATAATTAATTTTATAATGATGCGTGTTGATTCAAACAAACCGTCCGCCCGACAGTACAGACTACATTACAACTTTTTCTAATAATTGTACTGAGTATTTATGAGCCGAAAACAAATAAGAGGTATTGTAATTTGTATTTGAATACACATTTTTTGTCGACGTGATTTCAAACGATAACGGCCTGTGTTTATCGCGTGGTTTATTTGTACAACGCCGACGCTATACGATAACTTTCTGTTGTAACTTGTAGTACCTATTTCCTACCGTGGCGATTGATTTTAGATTTTTAGTATTTGTTCCAAAACACATTCCGTTACAAAAATACCTGAAAGGATGCACAGTACTTAGGGTAGGTTTCTTGATTTTCCGGCTTTTTTCATTTAAATTTATGTTTGGATGCATTTAAAGCAACATCGTACGCTCTTGCCAAAAGTGTACGTGATGTAAGCTTACCAGTTACTAAAGCAAGGCTCTTTTAAGAATAAACGTAGAAATTGTAAGTGACGAGATTGTATTACCTTATGTTATAATGCGTTCAATAAGGTATAGCACACCTCATATTGCCGTCAAATTAAAATCGTTCGTGTAAAATGATGAGCATCAAAGGATACAAACATATTGTCAAAAACAAGTTTTTCGTTTTACAATTTTTATAATTGACAATGAAACCTACTTCTGTTTGCGCTTGTTTTACGATATTTCGCCAATTTTAAAAAAATAACGTAGAAAACTAATGAATAACCGCACCTTTGAGAACACACAGAATAATTCTAATTTTGCCCTCCTGTAAAATTGTATAAAAGTTGCTTGATTGTCACCACTTCTTGTAGCTAGAATCTAGATGAACCATGCTATAACCACGTTGTTTGTGTAAACATGAACTACAATGCAAACGCTCTGTATGGCAGGCAGACCGCAGTACCGGAGCACCCGTTACGGCCACATCGTGTATAGCATATTATATGTGCCACGTGAGCGAACATGAGCGTTGCCTTGGTTACCGCGGGGTGTATAAACGCATCTTTCACGAGTCGAGATGAATTGCCACCTCTGCGCTGCCGGCATTAACGGTTCAAGGATATTTGCGCTGCAGTGTTTACATATTATAATATAATTCCTGGCCCATTCACTTCCTCGGCGGCGACGTTACTAATAAACGTTTTGCGCAATTAACTACACTGTGGTTACCACAGCCGCTGTACAATAGTAACAAATCTCAGCATATGGCTTGAGTGTAAGACGTGTAGTATAAGTGTGTTTTTGTACAGTTGTAGAACATAAAGTATTAAGTTCGCCGTTCCGTTGAGCACCGGTATTACGGCAGAGCACGTGACTAACGTTTAATAGATTATCAAGTTTTCATCTGAGTTCACATAATATCATGATTTTAAACGAAATGTGCATTTTCCTCCATTAATTTGTCAACAGTTTAGAATTCGATATATTGACCATACTGATTAGTGCTTATATAGTATTCATATATTATGTATGTACTGGTACATGTCTCTCTATTATTTTCATTTACAACAATATTTGTATTCATAATTTATGTTTTTTTCTATAGCAAATAAGTAAATCGGATAAAAACAAAGTCATGCATCATTTAAAGTTTAACAAAAGAAACAACCAACTGTAAAAATAACTCCCAGCTCCCTATATTGATCTCCGTATGGAAACGAAAATGAATAAATAATCTAGTTGCAAATTACTTATTGCCTTTTGTGGTTCTTACATTTTTGACATCTTTTATAATTTTTTTTATCTAACGTAAACAACCCTAGCTGGATTTGTTCCTGTCGTTTTCAATCGGACTGATAGCGTCTAACGATCTTGATCGTTTCTCGGTGGTCTCGTTCGATAAAAATCGTATACACAAAAAAAGTGTATTCATGCGTCACAACAGTATTAACGTTAACGTTGACTTATGTATGTAAATGTGTTGAATGTCTTTGCAACATAAATCCGCCGGGCCGTCCGTTCTTAGAAAGTGTCGTTACGGTACGTGGGCGAATATTTTTGGAAGCTATACGAACGCGGTGTCGACGTCCGTATGGAATAAGCGAAATAACCGGCAATGCGATGACCCCATGCGATGTGATAATGTATCTGTCCGAGTATAGCATAATATAGTACATTGAAACTAAACGGTAAAACTCTGAACACGATCCACGCACTGGGTCAAGGGTAAATTATATTATTATCTAGATCGTAGTCTATTAGAGCCCAACGGCAATGTAGTTCTCGTCCCGAGCCAAGTTTAATTTAGAAATAAAAATTATAACAATAACGATCATGTCTCTCTCGCCGTTAATCGTTCTCTTCCTGTTACTATTGCTATGAACTACGAGGTTAGTGGACATAATACTCGATTATAATTCCGTTTTCAGATTGTCGTTAGGATAGGTAAAACAACGATATGACTTTCGATTTATTTTTAAGGTGTAGTAAAACACTATAATTGTGCAGGACTGAAGAATTTTTTGGCCTAATTTAATTTTTGTTTTAAAGGGGATTGCATGCGGTCTGTTTTTAAAACACAATGTGTTAATTACACATTTGCCTTTTTCAGGCAATTGGTCTACTTACATCCAAAATTTTTCTTATTTGGACTTGGAATTAGAAATAACATAATACCGATGTATATTTTTTCTATTAGGTAGATAAACATTATTTTCTAAAACTTAATGTTTTATCGACTTTTTCGTAAGAGTGCCATTTTAAAAGCCACTTTAAGATTTAACTAATCTTTAAGGCTGCTGGGTACCGGCCAACTTTTCCGTCAAAACCTACCCATTTAACTTCAATAGGTCCGATCATTGCATTGAAGCGACAAGACTTCTGAAAACAGATTTGAATTCGGCATGAAGTCTACTGGAGATCGGTCAGAGAGTTTTTTTCAATTTTTAATTTTAACTCTTTCCAAATTTGATTTTAAAATTTGGAATTTTATATTAAGTTCAAACTTCAAACGTGTTTTACACATAGCAGGAATAAGATATCAAAAAGTACTCCGACCGATCTCAAGTAGATTTCATGACGAATTCAAATATGTTTTCAGATTACTTATCGGATCACTGGTTTAGCCTGTGTGATGGAACAAAAATGTATATTAAATTAACTAAAATGGCTTTTACTCATAGACAAAATGATTTAAATTAAAAATAATACCATGAAGCTTATACAAATTAACCAGTAAATTAATTGACACGATCGAAATTTATTAAAAACAATTTTTCTTAAATATTGCCTATACAAAACTCTTTAAAAATTGGCCGGTACACAATAGCCTTAAGGAACGTCACAAGTCCAGTATTACAAGCGTAAACCTAACCATTTTTTTAAAATTTCCTATTTTGTTTGTAGTTGACATAAAAAAAAAAATCCGAATTTATAAAATTCAGACAATTATCCATCTTTACTTTATAATCGAATAATTAAAAAAAATAATATTCGAATAATTTCCTAATCAAATACTCGAATAAAAAGTTATTCGAGTATTATTCAATTTGTCGAATAATTTTCAAAAATATGATTTAAATAGATTGTAACTAGTAAGTGCTTTTTTCATCCGGGTTTTCGGATTCTCATCACCACTGTCAATACATTTCGATTGTGAACAAATAATATTAATTATAGGCCAAGTTATTGTATGAAACTTTTTTTAAAATGTTTAATCCGCCTACAGGTAGTGTTATTTTTAAACACATGTTATAATCATATTATTATAAATATATTATATTACAACGGATAGAAATCGTACATGCAACAGCTATACAAGCAAATAGTATTATGGAAATAATATGCACGTGTACGCGGGCTTTGTGT